ACATGAGCCACGCCATCAAGGATATATTCGGTGCTGTGTAGCACCCTGGCAGCATCACCTCCCGTGGCAATCCGGCCGACATCCATGCTGTCGCTCATAACCCAAATGGGGAGGCCGGGCGATTGGATGCCAGGCATTTGCCCGAATGGCAGCCTCAAGCTCTGCCCTGCGAGGGTCGTGTGGGCACGCGCGGTCACGACCATGCAACGGGCCTGGCACGAGGCCCACCGGTGCACTACCGAGCGTAATTGAGACAGCAATGCTGCAGACAGCCCATTCTCGCTGACGGTGCTCATCCTCATACGTGTACCCCGCCCCGCAGTGGCGTCGGTTTACAATCTGTATCCAGCTGCCTACGGCAAGTCCCGCCGCTGGGTTATAAGCATACTGGATGTTCGTTGAGACCTCGTGGGAGGCCTCTTCGAGGGCCGAGGGTCTGGCATAGAGGCAGCTTCGAGGCCTCCTGGGGGGTCCTTTGGGGGGCCTCCTGGGCCTCTTTTGGGCCTCTGCGAGGGGCCTCTCGGGCGGTCCTTGGGGCCTCCTGGGGCCTCTCGGGGCGGATGGCTCGGATGTTCGGTTCGTCTCCCCTCTCTTGGGCACCTTTTTGGGTCATCTTGGGGCCCTCCTGGGTCGTCTTGGGCGCCTCTTGGGCCGTCTTGGGGCGCTCTTGGAAGCCTCTTGGGCCGTTTTGGGGTGGTCTTGGGGTCTTCTTGGGCCGCCCTGGAGCGTCGGAAAGCCGAACAGGCGAGCCCCTTGGGGTCTCTTTGGAGGCCTCTTGGGGTGCCTTGGAGGCCTCTTGGGCCATCTTGAGACCATCCTGGGCGTCTTCGAGCGATCGTTCGGCGACTCGGGGCCCTCTCGGACCGTCTTTTGGGCCTCCTGGGCCGTCATATGAGCCTTGGAGAGCCCTAGGGAGGCGCCATGGTCGCCAAGGGATCCCCCGGGAGTAGGGGTAATGCAGTCCCCTGGGTGTGACCCGGAGGATGAGGGGTGGGGCTTGGAAAACTACAGACACCGTGCCAGGCAGCCCTTGGCATTCTTCCACGCCTCAACGTGCCGCAGGCACGTTGGCGAATCGATCGTAGTCGGTGGAGTGAGGATGAGGAGGGAGGACGCGGGAGGACAGGACAGGAGGGGACGGAAACAGGATGACGCAGCTCTTCGGTGAAGGAGGAGGAGGAGGAAGAGAAGGAGTTGGAGGGTGAGGCGGACGAGGAGGAGTCGGAGTCGGAGTCGGAAGCCTTGGCAGCTGTCTGGGGTTCGACTGCAGACGAACCTAGTTGCTGCTGGCACGTTAGATCGGCGGATCGACGGGTCGCCTACGGGACCCTGGCTTTTTAGCCTCTCGGCCCACTGCAGCGCCGGGCCTTCCCGAAAACAAAATTCTTATGGAAACGGCAGGGACTTAGGGCCGTCCGGCCAATCGCCCCTGGCTCGGGACGTGTCCCAGTGTAGCAGTAATCCCGCCACCGCCTCGCCCGCCCCCAACCCACACTCGCCCCCCCCAAGTTCCTCTATCTAAAGCTGCTGCGCGCTCCGTCGTTGTGCACGCGTCTGGTCCCGAGGTCCAGGTTCCCGTGATGCGTCGGACCAAAAGGCCCACGAGAGAACAAGCCGAAACAGGCGGACGCCTCGGGAACCAGGAAGAGAAGAAAAAAAGGGGCACCCTTTGGCGCCTAAATCCCCGAGACAGGTGCTTAACGACTTCGCGTAAAAGAAAGCAAGAGGAACCATCACGGGTGGTGGTGCGTCGCAGCGGCCCATCGCCTTGCGACTGCTATCCTTGGCTAGCTCTCTACTTTCTGTCATCTCTATCTCTCCATCGCCATCTGACGGTCTCACAACGCTGCCTGTACTTTCCTCACGAGACCTGACAACGGCGGTGCTCAGAATATCTGCACTGCCTCTGCCGCTCGGGGTTTGTCCTCGACTGCTTTCTTGAGGTCCCCATTCTGCTTGGTGCGGCTGATCTTGACGGGCGGCTCCTGGCTTCCTTCGCGAGAGGCGTTGATCTGGTCCTCCCATGAGGGTGTCCGAGGGCTGTAAGCGATCATCATCAGGTCGCAGTTGGCATGTGGCGTGAGCTTGCTGTTGTGGGTCTTGGCGCTGTGCCCATCTAGTTTCATGTAGATCGGCATGTGGTCGGTCAGGTGCGCGGGATCGTGTAACTGGAGACGTCGCGCCAGGTCAGCCGCGGGGTAAGGTTGGCGAACCCTGCATATGGCTTTCGCAGGCGAAGCATCATGGTCTAAAGTGTTGGTGTAGGCGCTTCTGTAGTAGGCGTTCCCTGTCCCCATGAAGGTGTCTCCGATCGCCAAGTGGTTGTCATCCTTTAGGTCGCTCCTCTGCGAGCTGGTGGTGTTCTCTAGGGCGGGCTCCTCTGTGTCGCTAGACTCGGTGGCCTCGATGTATTTCTTCCCTGTTGTGTGTCGGCGTATTCCAACAGCGCAGTTGTAGTCACCAGAAATGATGGGGAGGCTGTTGTGACCCCACTTGTCTAGCTCGCTCTGGTTGACGGCCGTGCCCCTCGGTTGTATGAAGATGGGGAACGACGCCACGTCTATTGTGCTCATACTGACTGTAATCATGCCATTCCGTCCTGTAATGCCGCTCGTCGTCGGAGTCGTAGCCGCTCTCGGGGCGCTCCCATTGAGTCCCTTATTCAGTAGTACTGCCATTCCGCATGGATTGGGGACGCCAGCCACCTTCCTCCACCTGTGCTGGATACATTGTTGGTTTGGCAGCTGGTACTTCGTGTAATCCGTGTCTCGCGCTGCCCTGCCCGTCCCAGTGGCTCCGTCGACGTCGCCGTTGGCCATCTGCATCGAAATCTCCTCGAGGATGATGAAGTCTGCCCGCTGCACATTGCGGTACACTATCCTCTTGTTGCTTTCCTCGGCGGAGAGGCGGGTGTGGCACAGCGAGCAATGTAAGAGGAAGCATGGAAGAAACATCAACGCGGCGGGGGTACGGTAGCGGACTGCTGTGTGAGTATTCACGGCGCCGCCCTGAGCGGCCCCGTTCCCGCCGATGCGCCCTATGATCCACACGTCAAAGATCTGTGTTGACTGTGGGTGGGGATGGGCCGCTCGCGGGTGTCTGGGCCGTGGCGGCGGCTGGACGAGGAGGAGGAGGAAGAGGAGGAGAATGAGGAGGAGGAGCTGGATCTGAAGCTGGGGCTGTTGGCTTCGCTTTCCCGTGCTTCCCTCGAAAGCAGCTCCTCTTGGCGGTGGTCCATGCAATGGAAACCGGGACGGCGCACGTTGCCCGCCCGAGCTTCGCGGAGCTCAGATTGTGCAACGAGGGAGACAGGCAGCCGCCCAGCTGGAAGCCGCGTTTGTTCCTCGTTGGATGTGCGAATGTGGCGGCGCCAAGGCGAGAGCCGCATGGTTGTCACCGTTGGAGTCTTTTACGGGGCATGTTCTGCGGCACCAAACCGAGAGCCATTGTTTGAAATTATGCCCTTGCACATCTCTGTTGGAAGCCTTGCGGCGTGTCACACTTTAAACACGGCCCTCTCTCCATCCAGGTAAGAATTGGCGAATGCAAGATGCAGGGCCATACGCGGTGAAGGAAGCTCCAGCAGCATTCCCGGCCCGCCATACCAACCGGTCTGGAGAAGCGACGAGGAGGAGCTGTTTACATGAAAGAGTGCATGGAGCAGGGCCAGGGAGGAGGGAAAGCGGGGGGGGAGGGAGGGGCGATGCGTCGGTCGCCTGACGAGCTTGCCACTGGCGTTGAGGCGATACCGAAGAGACGGGAGAACGATGAGGACCATCTGGGTGGTCAACCTTCTCCCGTCGTTGGACCCGTATGGGTGCGCGAGATGCGGAGAGGGCTTTGCAAGCGAGTGCCGCTTTCGTGGCGCCCAGTGCGTCCCCTGAGCTTGCCCCCTTAACCATTACATGATGGCGTCGGCACGGGAGGAGCTGAATGGAGCGGAGAAAGTGAACGAAACAACAAAGGAGGATGAGGATCGAGAAACCGCTGAAGGGGTGGAAGCAGGAGGAGGAGAAGGAGGAGGAGGAGGAGGAGGAGGGGGATGGCGATGTGGAGCAAGAAGAGGATGTGGAGGACGAGTGGGAGCAAGAGGGAGGAACAAGGGGGGCAGGGGAAGAGCGGAGGACAGAGATGGGGATGTGGATAGGGGGGGGGGCGGACTCGGGCAGCGTCGGAGAGAGGAGGAATGGGGAGGAGATGGCGGAGGAGGAGCAGGAGAAGGAGGTGGAGGGTTGATGTGGGATAGGAGATGGCGGAGGATGGAGCAGGAGAAGGAGCAGGAGGAGGAGGAGGAGGAGGAGGAGAAGGAGAGCAGGAGACGGCGGAGGAGCAGGAGAAGGAGGTGGAGGAGCAGGAGAAGGAGATGGCGTGGGAGGAGCAGGAGAAGGAGGTGGAGGAGAAGGAGAAGGAGGAGGAGCAGGAGAAGGAGGTGGAGGGTCGATGAGACAGGATAGCAGGGCTCGTTTCGATTCCTCCGATTCGATTCGATCCGATTTCGATGGTTTCCGATTCCGATTCGATTCGATCTGGGATTCCGATTTGGGTTCCGATTTCTTCTTGGAGGCACACCAGCCTGCCGATGTCCGCCGATCCGACTTTTCCCGACTCGGCTGCCGATTTCCGACGATCCGATTCATGTCGATCGCCGATCCGACTCTGGGCTCTCCTGGCAGGAGAAGGAGGTGGAGGGTTGATGAGACAGGATGGGGGTGGAGAGGGGAGCAGGGTGTGGTGTCGGCGGAGGCGAGGATACTGTGGGACAGTGGGAAGGGCGGGCGGGGGATCGGAGGATGAGGACGAGGAGAAAGGAAGGGATGATGGGGAGGGGGTCGCATGAGATGGATGCGGCGAAGGGGGTTTAAAGAGGAGGTGGTTGAGCAGGCGGAAATTGCCCTGGAGGAGGATTGGGATGGACATTCCAAGAGCACGGACGGGCACTATGTAGGATTGGGCATCCGATGGGGTCGTGGGGTAAGTCTTGTTCATGTGATCCCGTCCAGGTGATAATTAAGAGCGACTTCTCGTCGTTCATCCGCGCAGACGGCGACTGTTTGAGAAGGCGCCCGCCTGTGGCCTTTGCCTCGGTGGTGCAGACGAGCAGTGCCTGGTTAGACCTTCCTGCCGACCTTGCGCGCATTGGCATCATGGGCATCCGTGCATTCTTCGTGCGCAGTGGGATTCGGTTGAGTAAGCAGAATGGCATTCCGTCTGTATGTGTCCCCTCTCTCACAACATGTTGATTGTTAGGGAAGCCGTTCAACCACAAAACATGATAAATGGGGCCCATTGCATGTGCGGATTGTCATCGGTCGTCTTTCGTCGAGACTGTATCGTGCCGTCTCTCTCAGGTGTCCGACTCTTCTTGGTGTCCCCCTCCCCGAGGCATCATTCTTCCAGTGACTTTCCACATCCTCCACATCCACACCGTCATCATCATCCCCTCCCCCGTTATTCTGCCCACATTCTCCCATTACGTCACGGGGATCTAGGCATTTTCCGGTCGAGGGATGGCGATGTTGCAGTCATTGATTGGTGTTCAGGTAATTTTTATGTGTCGGGTCTACCAGATTACAGGAGTTAATTATCGATCTATAATCCATAGGGTTTGGACCTAAGAGTAGAAGTCCAGGCATTCGGCATCATTGACGCACGCCATCTTTCTCTCTCTCTTGTTTCTTGTCCCCCACCCTTCTTCGCCACAGCCCCCATTCCTGCCTGTGTCTCTTCTTCTTCTATCCACCCGCCCTCCTCTCCACACCCTCCCATCCCTCTTCCCCGGGCTTCCCTCGTCCCATCGAATGTGGGCGCCGCGTAATGGGGGGGTCATAAATGGGGGGGCGGCGAGTGTGGTCCGAAAAGGTACCCAAATGGTACCTAAACGAGCCCCCTGGGGCTCTGGAGGGGCCCGAAAGGGGTACGAAAGGGGACCTTCTCTGACCCCCCCATTTGTGACCCCCCCATGAAGCCACGCCCAACGAATCCTCCTCAGCCTGCTTGCCCCCTTTGCCTCGTCGCTGCAGCCCAGCAGGATGGACGCCTACTCGCTGGCCCTGGCGGAGAGGAAGAGGACCAGCAGGAGGCTCGCCGGCTCGCTGGTCCTGGAGAGGCATCTGTCCCTGTGCCCTGCGGGCGTGCCAAGAAGGTCTCCTCCCTCCTCCCTCCTCCTCCTCCTCCTCCTCCTCCTCCTCCTCCTCCTCCTCCTCCTCCTGCCGTGGGGCATCAGGAGGCGTATGTCAGAGGAGGGGAGGAGTGGGCACAGGAAGGGGAGGAGTAGAGGATGGGCGCAAGTAGGGGTACTCCAGATTTCGTAATAAAGGGAGGGGGGTCTCATTTCGGGGGGGGTCTCTTCCAGGCTATCTTGGAGGGCTTGGGGGGGTCTGGGGACGATGTTTTGGAGGGTTCTCCCACGGGGGAGGTCTGAAATGGCTTGTCTTGGAGGGTCCAGACCCCCTCCCTTTTATTACGAAATCTGGAGTACGTGGCATGAACCAGGCTTGGATTCAATCGCACCGGACCTGGGTTGGATTCCCGTCGTGCACATGATGATGACGGCTCGTCCGCCTGTTTCCGGGGCAACTGGCCGGCCAACGCGTCTCTTGGGGTCGGCGCGACCATTTGGATCAAGGGCTCCAGGCAGCTCGGAGCTTCGGCATGCAATTTGCGCGGCTCCTTAGCGCGACGATGGACCTATATTCAGAAGGGAAACAAACACACATACACAAGTCATCGTTGATTCCCCAGAAAATATGCGAAAGTATGGGAAGTGGGGGGAAGACAAATACCCATAAGATATGAGAAACTATGGGGAGTATTTTTCAATGTGTGTATTTATTTGTGTGTCCCAGGGCCCCTTCATACACATCGCCATCGGCGCCGGCCAGGCCCAGCCAGGGCTCCAAGAGAGCGGTGTACTTATACGCCCCCCCTGGAGTGCCCAGGCAGGTGTGTACGCCTCTGCTGTGGGCCTGCGATATGGGCTTCTGGCCAGCGGACGTTTTTTTGTGCTATAGATCTCGTCGCCCTAATCCCAGCAGGTTCCCAAGCAGCTGCACTTCGGCATGCGATTTGCGGCTCCTTAGCGCGACGGTGGATCTATACATCTCCACCGTCGCCGGCCCCCCATCCAGCGCCCCTACAGCGGTGTGTACGCCCACCTGGGAGTGCCCAAGAGCAGGTATGGACGCCTCTCCTGTGGGCCTGCGATGTGGGCCTGGCCAGCGGAGGTTTTTTTGTTACAGATCTCGTCGCCCTAACCTCGGGGGCGGCGAAGAGGGGGGTGATGACTAGGGGGGGTGGACTTAGTGGGCCCTGGAAACGACAGGGCTGTTTTTTCACCGGTTCCGTTTTGCTGTTTTTTTGCAGGTTCCGACTCCGTTGTTTTACTGGTTCCGTCGCCGTTCTTTTACGGGTTCCCGCTCCCGTTCCAATCCTGGAGCCGTTTTTGTTGCCGTTTCTTGTCGCAGTTTTTGTTGCCGTTTCCATTTCCAAGGGACACTTTTTCGGAAACGGTGAAAAATCTGCCCTGCCGTTTCCGGGGCCCACTGAGGGGGTGGATCTCATGGCGGGGGCCATGGTATTTCCCCAGGTTTCCTGGCGCCTCTGCTTTTTCCAGTGCGTCCCTGGCCCCCCCGCTGGGCCGCGCACGTGCCGCCGGTCACGATTTGCACCCCCCCCTCTTGGACACCCCCCTCCTGGCCGCTCCCGATAAGCCCAGCAGGGTCTCAAGCAGCTGCACGTCGGCTGGACTGGGGATTCAGGGAGGGCGAGGCGGGCCAAGCAGGCCCGCCCTGCCTGGCCCGCTGATGAGCCCGCAGTCGCAAAGGTAGTGGTGATCGAGGGCACATCCGCCATCAGACTCGGAGTGTAAGGCAGCCTGGCATCGCTCGGACGTGTGTATTTCTTTCTCGGGGAGAACCATTGAGGACCATCCTTGATCATTTGGCGAAAAGGCCACGCACAAAACCGAAACAAAAACACAGGGAATGGACGTCCGAGCGATGGCGAGGCAGGGGTGGGCCTGAGCTGTGTGTTTGGCGATGTCGTGGGCCGTTGTCGTTTCGATGCCGTTCTGCAGCCGAGGCGGCTTCAAGGCAAACCGAGGAGAAACGAGAACAAAACGAAGACGAAAGATACTGCTTAGATCCAGCCCTGGTGTCAGGGTGCCGCAATGTATGGATCAGGGCTGGACCTAAACGGTGTTTTGGCGATTTCGTGGGCCGTTTCCGTTTCGATTTCGTTCTGCGGTAGGGGCGGCTTGAAGACAAGACGAGGGAAGACGAAAACAAAACGAACACGAAAAACACTGCTTAGATCCAGCCCTGGTGTCAGGGTGCCCCATGTAGGGGGCCACATGCGAACCCTCCCCCTCAGAAATCGTGGGGGGTAGGGGTAGGGTTCGCAGGTTCAGCCCTGGTATGGAGTGAATTCGGCGCTGCCTCCCCTCATGCAAAAAAAACTGGCGGCCTCGGGGAGGCCGCTCGGAGGCCGGGTGCGGCGGTTCCTCGCGCAGCGTCGCCCGAAGGAGCTCCGAAGACGCTAACGTTATGTCGGGCGTGTCCCCCTTACAGGGGGATTTTCTTTGAAAAATAGAAAATGCTCCAGAAATGCCCCCAAAAAGGCAAAACAATATTTGAAACATAGTTCCCAGAGTATGTTTCAATCATGTTTTGATTATTTGTGGGGTAATTGTCGTTTTTCGTCGAACATCCCCCTGCAGGGGGACATGCCCGACTTAACGCTAAAGAGCTAGAGCCGCCCACGTGGACGTTCGATAGCGCGGGACCTGTTAGTCAGGGGAGGAAAGGTACCCGTACCGCTACCCTTCTTTCGTTTTTCCCTTTTTGGAGTTCCTGGGAGGCCCTCGTCGCAGCCGCTGGATTCGCCTCGAAATCCTGGTCAGAGAGCACCCCAGGGGAGGTCCAGGGAGTAGCGGTATCAGTACCCTGTGACATCCCCAGGTAAGTTTGTCCCGAACATTGGTTAAGCACAAATCTGCATACACAGTCTCCAGCGCCGCCTTTAGCGCCCTCCGCGCGCCAGGGAAGGGGCTTCAACGCCAATGCCAGAAATACGTGCAGATCTCCGAAATATATTATGATATTGTTGATTCTTCTTCTTCTTCTTCTAAAATTGATCCCAATCCACAAGTGGTGTGGTCGAAGGGGCCCCCATGATCGTAAAGTGTCTCCCTCTGGTGAGCATGCAGCCGTACTCTCAGAACCGTCGTTCCCGTCAGCTGAGTGCAGGCTGATTTGCAGGCCAAGCCATGCGGCCCACCCAAGGGGACCTTCGCCGCGGCCTCCTCGCCCAGGGATGCATCATGACGAGGGGGGAAGAGGATGAGCGGGACGGAGGGCGGAAAGGGCGGATTTTATGGGAGAAGGGGAAGGGGGGATGACGGCAGTACAGGGGAACATGCAGCGGCCTGCGGCAAACTCCGCCACGGTTCCAGCGCAGCAACGCAGCAGAAATGAGGTTATTGCACGCCCCTTTCAAGCGCAGCATGGCGCTGACTTGGAGCGCACCTCCTTGTCCGCATCCTCGTTCTCCTCTTCTCTCATGTTCTCTTCTTCGCCTTCTCCCCACCCCTCCTCCGAGCCGTTTTTGGAGGCCTTGAGTATTTTTTGGGTGGGGGTTCTGGGGACTCTTGGAAGCCGATTGTGGAGTCTCTTGGGAGCCTCTTAGGGACTTCGGGGCCGGCTTGGAGGCCTCAGGGGGGGTCATTCTAGTGACCTCTTGGGGGCCGTCTTGAGGCGATCTTGGATTGTCTTGGTGTCTTGGTATCTTCCCGTGATGTCTTTGTGCTTTCTTGGGGTGGGGCCCTCTTGTGCCGTCTTGGAACCTTCTAGGGGACCTTCCGGTCGTCTTGGATTTTCGGAAGCCCGAAGCAGCGAGCGTTTGCAACAACCTAATGGGAATGCTTGGGTTATGCATATGGAGGGCCTCTTGGACGTCCTCTCGGAGCCTCTAGGGCCGTCTTGGGGGCCTTTTGGGCGAACCTGGGTCCTCCTTGGAGCGTCTGGAGGCCTTCTTGGGGTTTCTCAGTTTTTTCGCCACAGCGATGCCCACGTTGTGTGGAGCTGCTCCTGCACGGCCTATGGTCTAGCGTTCGGGACCCGTGCGGTGTTTGCTGCACCCGTGTTGATGGTGTGCGCTGGAGGTCTGCAGTGGTTCCTCTGGAGTCTGCAAGCCCCTCCTGGCAGCCTCCAGAGGTCGGGTCTTGTGAGGCACCCGCTGGCAAGGCCTCGGATTGCGCACCGACAGCCCCCCTGACGCAGTCCCAGCTGGCCTCAGCAGGCCCCCCGAGTGAGGAGGACCAGGCGAAAAATGGCCCCCCCCAAGTGTAATTCGAACAGAGACAACGCCGAAATCCAGCTGACCCCACCCGTGCTCTCGCACACCTTTGCGCGTGGCTCTTTTTTTTTCTCCTTGCAGCTGGCCTTTGGAACGCGCGGTTGGCGTGGCTATGGCGCGGGGGTTCTTCGGGGGGCCCGAGTGGCCCAGGGGCGGCCTGGGCACCCTGCCCTAGATTTCGTAATAAAAGGGAGGGCGTCTGGACCCTCCAAGACAAGCCAATTCAGACCCCCCCTCGTGGGAGAACCCTCCAAAACATCGTCCCCAGACCCCCCCAGGCCCTCCAAGATAGCCTGGAAGAGGCCCCCCCCGAAATGAGACCCCCCTCCCTTTATTACGAAATCTGGAGTACCCTGGGGCGCGGCGTGCCCCAGGGGCGCCCTGGACCGCGCGGGGGTCCCGTGGGGGCCAGCCGAGGCCACTGCCGGGGGCTCTCTGTGCGCAGGCGCCGGAGCCCCAGCAGGCCCGAGGCGCCTCCAATCAGAGCAGCCCCCCAGTGGGGGGACCCTTCGCCGGGCCATCCCTCCGTGGGCCACGGAGGGATGGCCCGGCGAAGGGTCCAACCCTCTGCAGATGTGATCGGGGGCGGCGAAGAGGGGGGTGGTGCCTGGGGGGGGAATTTCAAGGCGGTGGCGGTGGCCATGGTATTTCCCCAGGTTTCATGGCGCCTCTTCTGATTTCATTGCGTCCCTGGCCCCCCCGCTGGGCCGCGCACATTCCGCTGGTCATGATTTGCACCCCCCCCCTCTTGGACACCCCCCTCTGGGCCGCTCCCGACCTTTGCAGATGTGAGCAGCGCTGTTGTGAGCATCTTCGATGGAGCTCCCTCCTGGGGCCACGAAGCGTGTGAGGTGTGCGCTGGAAGGGGTACGGGGGGGAGACGCACGCGACAACCGCCACGGGGGCCTTCGGTGGTGCTCCTTCTAGGGCCACGGAGCGTGTGCGGGGGGTACCGACATGGGTGCTCGGGACGCGTGCGATAATCGCCACTGGGCCTTCCGTGGGGCTCCTTCTGGGGTCAGGAAGCGTGGGAGGGGTGTACCGACATGGGTGCGGGGGGCGCATATGCGAGAACCGCCACTGGGGCCTTCGGTGGGGCTCCCCATGGGGCCACGAAACGTGAGATGGGTGTATCGACGTGTCTGCAGGAGACGCGTGCGAGAGCCGCCACTGGGTCCTTGGGTGGAGTTCCCCCTCGGGCCACGAAGTGTGTCAGGGATGTGCCGGATGGGCGCGGGGGGCGCACGCGATAACCGTTGGTGGGGCCTTCTGTGGAGCTTCCCATTGGGGCACGAAGCGTGTGAGAGGTGTGCCGAGGTGGGTGCAGGGGAGCAACAAGTGACATAAACATAAAAACTCGGAGGTCCACGCGGATTTCTCGGATCGGCGCTGGACCCCCCTCCCTGGCGCGCGGAGCGCGCCGGGGGCGGCGCCGGAGGCGCCGCCGGGGGGCCCCAGCGCCGATCCGAGAAATCCGCGCGGACCTCCGAGTTTTTATGTTTATGCCACTTTTTGTTCCCCTAGTGCAGGGGACGCGTGCGAGAACCGCCTCTGAGGCTTTCGGTGGAGCTCCGTACCTGTTGGCATTAGGCCCATCCCTTCACCGAGCCTGGGCTGTGGGTGTGAAGCACACTGGATGTTCTTTGGGGGCTCGTTGGAGGCCTCTCGGGGGTCTCTTGGAGGCTGCTATCATGCCGTTCTGGGGCCTCTTTGGACCTCTTGTGGGCCTCTTCACTACCTCGTGGTGCTTCTTGAGGGCCTCTTGGCCTTTGGGGCCTCTTGGGCGCCTCTGGGGGCATCCTGGGGGCCTCTTGGTAGGGAAGGCTCTGATTTCGGTTCGTGTTCCCTCTGTTGGGCCCTTTTTGGGACCGTCTTTGGCGCCACTCGGGGCCCTCTTGGGCTGTTTTGGGACCCTGTTGTAGGCATCTTGCGCCGTCTTGTGGCGATCTTACGTCGGAGCTTCCAGGGCGTCTCCGCGCGTCGGGAAGCCGAAGAGGCAGACCACCCCAAACCTTCAACACTTAAGGCACATCAGTGAGTTGTGCCTCCTGGGAGGCCTTTGGGAGGCCCCTCGGGGCGTCGTGAATGCCTCTTGGGCCGTCTGGGCGCCACCTTGAGCGTCCTGGCGCGAGATGTCGGAGCCCCCCTTGGCTGCACGGTTTCCCCCGGGGCCGTAGGCGACCCGAGGAGGGGGAGCAGGAGGACGAGGAGGTGGAGGAGGGGGAAGAAGAGGAGGAGATGGAGGAGGAGGAGGAGGAGGAGGAGGAGAAGGAGGGAGGAGGAGGAAGAGGAGCAGGAGGAGGAGGCGGAGGAGGAGGAGGAGGAGGAGGACGGGTCGCCTAAGCCCTTCGGGGAAACCCTCCACCCTTGGCCCGTCGTGAGGCCCTCCCGGGCCCGAGCAGGTGGCGCGGGGAGGCGCGGGGGAGCCCAGAGGGCACGCGCCACGCCATCAGAGAGGCGTCGGAAGTTGGGGGTCGGGCCTCCCCAAAAGAGATTCCTCAGGACTGAGGATTTTGCTCGGACGTGTGCGTTTTTTTTCCTCGGCGAGGGCCCTCGAGGAGCATCCTCCTCATTTCTCTCCTCCTCCTCCTCCTCCTCCTCCTCCTCCTCCTCCTCCTCCTCCTCCTCCTCCTCCTCTTGCTCGCGGGCGGAGACACATCTCCGAACCCGCTGCCTCGCGGGCGGGGCCCCTGGACTTGGCATCGCTCGGACGTGTGCGTTTTTTCCTCGGCGAGGGCCATCGAGGAGCCTCCTTGATCCTTTGGCGAAAAAGCCACGCACGAGAGCGACAAGAAGCACAGGGAAATGGACGTCCGAGCGATAGCCAGAGGAAGCTTTAACAGGAGGTCAAAAAAACACAAAGGCACAATGAATCGTCGGTCCCCAAGCAGATATGGGAAAATATGGGAATTGGGCGGGAAGGCAAAAGCCCAGAAACTATAGGAAGCTATGGGGAATAGTTTGATGCTTGTGTATTTATTTGTGTGTCCCAGGGCCACTTCACTGTAGGGGATTAGGCAAAGGAACGGAGGACTGTAGGGGGTTCCTTTCGGGGATGTCTTCAGGGCAGGGGAGTCTTTCGGGGATTCCTTCAGAGGAAGGAGGCTCCAGGGATTAGGCAAAGGACTTGAGGACACGCCCGCTCTGTGACCAGAGGCACGGGTGGGACCACGAAGCGTCGTTGAGGCGTGTGCAAGAATGGGCGCCAGGGGCGCATGCGAGAGCCGCCACCGTAGGCTTGGCTTCGGCAGAGCTCCTGGTGGGCCACGAAACGCGTGAGAGGTGTGCGTGAATGGTCGCGGAGGACGCAGGCGATTAACTGCCACTTGGGCCGTCGGTGGAGATCTCTTTTGGACCACGAAGCGTATGATGGGGGTTGCCGTAACTGGTGCGGGGGGCGCGTGCGAGAACCGCAAGTGGGTCGTTCGATAGAGCTCCCTCCTGGGGCCACGGAGCGTGTGAAAGGTGCGCCGACATTGGTGCGGGGGACACGTGTGGTAGCCGCTGGTGGGGCCCTCGGTGGCGCTCCCTGCCGAGCCACGAAGCGTGCGAGATGTGCGGGGGAAGCATGCGATAGCCGCCATCGGGCCTTCCGTGGGGCTCCCTCTGGGGCCACGAAGCGTGGGAGGGGTGTGCTGTAACGCGTGCGGGGGGCGCATGCGAGAACCGCCACTGGGGTCTTCGGTGGGGCTTCCGAAGGGGCCACGAGCAGTGCGAGAGGCGGGTCCACGAAGCGTGGACGCTTGCGAGAACCGCCATTGAGGCCTTCAGCGGGGCTTCCTGCGTGGTCACGGAACGTGTGAGGGGTGTGCCGCACTGAGTGTGGGGGACGCTTGCGATAATCGCCATAAAAATGCATTTGGTGGAGCTCCCTACTGGACCACGAAGCCTGTCAGGGGTGTGCCGTAACAGAGGCATGCGGAGGGCAGAGGCAAGACTGGGAGGAGGGAAGAGTGGAGGAGGAGAGGAGCCAAGGATGGGAGGAGGGAGGAGGGGCAAGGATGAGAGGAGGAGGAGGAGGAGGTGGGAGGAGGAGCAAGAGGAGGAGGATGAGGAGGAGGAGGAAGAGGAGGAGGAGGAGGAGGAGGAGGAGGAAGCGAAGGATCGAGGAGGAGGAGGAGGGGAGAGGAGGGAGGAGGGGGAGAGAAGATGAGGGGAGGAGGGGGAGAGGGAGGAGGGAAACACACTGGGGGAGGCAAGTAGGAGGAGGAGGAGGATGATGCAGGAGGAGGAGGAGGAGGAGGAGGAGGAGGAGGAGAGGAGGAGGACGCGGGGCACTGTCTCGTCAAAACGAGGACCCAGCATCACAGGATGGTTGGGACAAGAACGCCCGACACGACGAGGAGGCGCTTGCGGCCCCCCGGTCCCGCTCAAGCCTCCCCTGCCCACCGAGTTACTACGAGCCGCTGGACGGGGGCGACGTGCTCAACTCCCGCGCGCTCCGCGAGGTGAAGAACTTCGAGGCCCGCCCGGGCCGGCAGGGGCGGCGCGCCCCCAAAAATTTTCGCCCCGCTTGGCGGGCCTCTCGTTGACGACGGCGAATATTCAGAATAGTAACAATTAAACAGAAGAAGACACACAATAAGAATATGAATAATACTAATAATAATAATAATGAAAATAATGATAATGATAATGATGATGATAATAAGAATCACAATAAGCAGCGGCACCACAAGAAAAGGAGCATTTCTCGGAAGAAGAACTATCAGAAGCAGAAGAAGTTGAAGCAGCGGCATAAAACATGCTGGCGGAGGTCCGCGCGACTGGTTGGGATCGTCGCGGGGGCGCCCCTGGCCGCGCCTCCAGGGCTCCCCCCCCCTTGGCGGCGCGGGGGGGCCCGGTGCCGACCCGGCAAGAGATCCGCGCGGAGTTGCGAAAGCTAATCGAAGAAGAGGAAAACGCCATCCCATCCCATCCCTCCTCCTCCTCCTCCTCCTCCTCCTCCTCCTCTAATCCTCCTCCCTCCTCCTCCTCCTCCTCCTCCTCCTCCTCCTCCTCCCCTCCTCTAATCATCCTCCTCCTCTAATCCTCCTCCTCCTCCTCCTCCTCCTCCTCCTCCTCCTCCTCCTCCTCCTCCTCCTCCTCCCATGTCGTGTAACCGACCCCCATCCCCATCCCCATCCCCTTGGAGACTCCCACCAAGTAGCCCCCCCCCAGTTGGGGATACACCCCTGGAAACCCGGAGGGACCAGCCCATATCACCATCTAGGGCCGCAAATCGGCCAGGGAGGCCCAGGCCACGCCGCTGGGGATAGGGATCGGATGGGGACCAGATTGGCGCTCCGCGCGGATTTCTTGGATCTGCGCTGGGCCCCCCACTCCCCCCGGCGGCGCCCAGCGCAGATGTGTATGGTGTGCTGTTCTTCTGTTGTTCCTATTCGAGTTCGGGGTTGCAAGGGCAGCACGTCCTCAAATGTCGCTCCGTCTGGCGGGCACCTCGGAGTCGGAGGTAAAGAGCCAGAGGCCTCGTTCTCCTCCTCCCCCGCCTCCTCGTCCTCGTTGGCGTCCTCCTTGTCCTCTGGGGTGCTTGGCTGGATGGATACCCCAGGAGTGCCCCAATGTGTGACGATCGGGGTTGAGAGGCGAGGCTTGAGGTCGAGAGGTGGGCGATGCTTCAGGTCGATGGGCGATGCTTGAGGTCGAGGGGCGTTTCCTTCCCGTTCTGCCCTGCCCACCCTCAGGTTAGACTCAAGTCGGGCCTGTCCCTCTACAGGGGGAATACCAAAAAATTGTCAAACAAATAGTCTGGGGACTATTTGTGTTGACTATGTTTGAGTATGTTTTGTATGTTTTGGGTATTTCTAATTGTTCGTCGAAAGTCGGCCTGTAGGGAGACAGGCCCGACTTAAGGTTAGATGCTCGTTTTGGGTGCCTTCCTGGGGCCCACAAGTTCGGCTCAAGTTCGATTCAAGTTCGACTCAGGTTCGCATCATTGTTGGCTTAAATCGACGGACGTTCCACGCAGATTCGACCCAAGAGTGGAGCGAGTATCTCCAGGAAGGTTTCCAGAATGAGCATCCAGCTCAGGTCACCAGGTCCATCAGTTTGATTTCGGACAACACGTTTTCAAGGCGCGACACCAGCAGCAGCAGGAGCTGCAAGGCAGACAAAGGAGCGACAGGATGATCATGAGGGGGAACATGGAAACGAGAAGAGAGTCGAACGACAAGGAGGATTAGCAGGAGAAGGTATGAGCAGGGACGATTGAGGAAAGAGGAGGCAGGCGGACTAACAAGCAGAGAGCGGTAGAGGAAAGTTGAGGGCCACGTTTCGAAGCTGATTTTTGGAAACATGGGGCACCGTCTACAGTCCTGCTGGAACCTCCTGCAACATCCCAAACACCGCGCCGCCCCCCGTCACAAGACGCTACGATAGCCCTCGGGCAACACGCCGAAGTACTCCCCACGAGGGAACTCCCCGCCGAGAACTCCCAGCCAACCCCAGCACTCCCTCCCACGACACGCCGACGACAGGCGTCCTTGGGACCGCCATGAGCCATCTCGGGCCCTCGCGGCGGTCTTCTTTTGGACCACCTCTGGCTCTCCGTCTGGCATGGCCTGGCCTCACGCCGTTGAGTCCCGCTCCAGCGGGCCCATTCCCGGGCTCATCTTGGGCCCCGTCGGTGGCTCCGCCATCGGGCTCACTGGCTCAGCGGCTCAGTGGCTCCGCCATCGTGGCTCCGCAATCGGGCTCAACAGCCCCCAAATCCCCAGTCGTTCTCTCTCTCTCTCTCTCTCTCTCTCTATAAGAGATCTCCCAGGACCTGTCTCCGATCCCCCCCCCGCGGTACCCCCTCGGACGGGGCCGGGGCGAGGACTAAGTCCGCTTCGGAGCGTCCCGGAGCGCGAAGGGATCCTCCAGAGCGTCCCCGAGCGTCCGCTTCAGAGCGGCGCCCGAGGCATCCTCCAGAGCCGCGGGATCTCTCAGAGGTCCTCGAGTCGTCCTCGTCCTGGCCTCGTCTGGCGCACTCTGCTCTCTCTTGCGGCGAGCTCTTTTGGGCCTCGCGGCCCCGAGGCGTCCATCGTACACGCCTCTGCGGCCCTCCCGGCAGTCTTCGGGGGTGGACAGGCCTCCTACCCTGACACGTCGATTAGTGAATTGGCCGTTCTCGGTTCGCGAGAGGGCGTCGCGGCCGTCACTTTTGCGGGTCCAGGTCCGTCGGTTTCGGTCCCAGGCCGTGTTCACTAAGGCGTCGTACATACCTCTGCGGCTCCCGTTTTTTTATATATGCTCCGCATGCGGATCATATCTTAAAATACAGGGATCTAGCATTAAACACAACGATGAACTCCTGCACAAATTGACCCATAAAATCATCACGTATTAAACATCCGATGTTTTTTTCTGTTTGCGTTTTTTGGTTAATCCTATGTATTAAAAAACTGCCCTGTAGTCTGGAGAGCCCAGCGGCTCAGGACCGCAGGGCGGCGCGGCGCGCGCGCGGGAGCAGCGGCGCGCCGCCCCCCGCGCCAGGCCGCCCTGACGGCGCTGCCGGGCTGGAAGCGCATGTGCGAGTCGAGGGGTGCGCGTGCCGCCCTCGCGCGGGGCAGCGCAAGGCTCGGGGTGCGTGATGTCGGGCGTGTCCCCCCCTACAGGGGGATCTTCGACGAAACATACGAAATACCCCCAACAATGCACCAAAAAGGTAAAGCAGTACTAAGAAAATAGTCCCCACACTATCTGTTGTTTTTTGTTGATTATTTTTGGGGTAGGTTGTATTTGTTGTCGAAAATCCCCCTGTAGGGGTACAGGCCCGACTTAACGCAGGGCTCGGGTGCGCCGGAGCTCGGGTTGGCCGACGCTGTTGGACGAGCGCATCCTGGGTTTTGTGCCGGTCCGGGTGCCGTTGGACGTCTGCTGCGGGAGCTCGCGTCAAGTTTCAGGCGTGGTCTCGTCATTCTCACGATGGCCCCCTCGTGTGGGCGTGACCTGTGTCCATCTCCCCTGCAGCTTGGAGTCTCGGGCTCCCGTCCCCAGGAACCGGAGGCGCACCGGGTACGGATGAGAGCCTGGCCCCGATATATAGAGGCTCGATGGTTCTCACTGTCCGGTGCGCCTCAGCCCGGCGGCGCCCCTCCCAAGAGAGTCTCAGACGCACTGGATGCGGATGGCAGCATTGCCCGCACGTTGGGCCAACCCCGGCGCCCCGGCTCGCGGGGGGAGGAACCGCCCGGACCCGGCACGCGGCGTTCCTTTTGAGCGGCCCCTGGGCGTTTGCTGCACGGCCCCCCGCCCCGCCTGCTTCCTCGCCCGGGTGCGTGTACTGAACGGCTCCGCGTGTCGGGGTGACTGCGGTCCACCCGCACAGTAAGGACAGTCGACCTTCACAAGGGTACCCTTGTCGGGGGCGGACAGAGCCCCCAACAGTGACACGTCGATCAGTGAATTGTCCGTTTTCGGTTCTCGAGAGGGCGCCGTGGCCGTTATTTTCCAGGCTTGCGCCCGCCAGGTTTGGGCCTCAGGTCGTTTTCACTAAACCACGTTTTACTAAAGGGGGGTCTGTCCATCCCCGACCTTGCACCCCTGCCTCTCTTCGGTCCTCTTCGGCCCCTCCTCGGCCACCTTCGAAGGTCAGCGCCGCTCGAAGAGCCTCGGCAGAAGCGTCCAGGGCCCTTCGCACCCTCACCGCGCACCCTCACTCTGCGGGAACTGACTGTCTTCTGGGGGCTCCTCTCCTGCCCTCCTCCGGACCCGGGTGTCACGCCTCTCTCGGGAGGGGTAAAAAACACACAGACACAATTGAGTCGTCGATTCCCAGGAAAATATGAAAAAAGATGGGCAGTGGGGGGGAGGACAAGAACCCGGAAAATCTGGGAAAATATGGGGAATATCGTCCTTTGTGTGTCTTTCTTTGTGTGTCCCAGGGCCCCTTCGCTCTCCCCGCCTCGCCGCCTCGCGCGCGGGGGTGGGGCGGGCCAGCTCCCGGCCTGCTCCCTATCCCCCCTCGGAGGAGGGGGCAGGGCACCCCTGCCGCTACCCCTCCGCTCGTGCTCTCCCCGTCCTCGGGCCTCCCGGGGTCCCCTCGCCCGTGCTTTCCCCGTTGTCGGGCCTCCTCCCTGACCTTCCAAGAGGGCTAAAAAATAGCACTCGACTTAAAAACCTATCCCAAGGCTATTCTACGTCTTGGTTTTAGGCAGTTTCGCTTAGTTTTTCAGGTTTTTTGACCTCCAGTGCTGAAACATAGCTCTCTGGAAGGTCAGGGCTGGGGTCCCTTCGCTCGTGCTGCCTCCTGTCGGGCCTCCTGGGAGGCCCTCGTCGACACCGCCGGACTCGCCTCGAGGTTCTGGTCGGAGCGCACCCCGGGAGGGGCCCGGGGAACAGCGGTATCGGTGCTTGCTGGTTTTTCCTTTCCTCCCCCTCCTCCTCCCCCCTCCCTCTCCTCCTCCTCCTCCGCCTCCTCCTCACCATCCTCCTCCTCCTCCTCCTCCTCCTTCTCCTCCTCCTTCTCCTCCTCCTCCTCCTCCTCCTTCGCACCGCGGACGCCCTGGGCAGGCAGGGGGGGAAGGCGTCGGAGGGGCTCGACGCGTTCGGTATGCACCACGTCGTTTAATCGGCGAGGGAGCCGAGGAATTTGGCGAGGAAGATCGGTGTATAGACGCTCCAGCATCCCACGGGTTCGGCAGCTGGGGGCTCGTTATACACGACGCTCCAGCATCCCACGGGTTCGGCAGTTGGGGGTTCGGTATACTCGGAACTCCCTGGCCGCCCAAACGACGTGGTGTACGTACGCATCGAGCCCCTCCCATGGCGGGGACTGCGCCAGGGAGGAGGGGGGTCCGGCGGCGATGTAAGCAACCCGCGCGGACCTCCAAACATTTGCGTGCCGATGTCGTGTCGTGTCTCCTCCTCTTCCTCCCCCCTTCCTTTTCCTTCTAGATAATTTCTCCCTGTCGCACCCCGAGGCCAGTGTTTCGGGCGGGCAGGACGTTTTGCTTGAGACTTCGTTACCATTGATGACCCTGAAGCTTTAAAACATGACAACGGTTTCACAGATAGAGAGCGGGCCGGTTTCAACACGTGGGTCTTGCCTATGCGCCGCGCATATTCGTTTTCAACATTTGCAAGATTTTAACGTATTGAGGGCGGGTTGTTTTCAACATGTGGTTCTCGCCTCATCGCGCGCACATTCGTTTTACAAATTTGCAAGAGTTTCACCGATTGAAGACGGGGTTGCTTTCAACATGTGGTTATCGCTTTAGCTCCGCGCACCTCCATTCTCAACAGTTGCAAGAATTGTACGGGTTGAGGGCGGTTCCTTTTCAAATGCGGTTCTCGCCTTAGGGCCGCGCGCATTCTTGATACGAGGTTGCAAGAGTTTCACGGATACCAATGATCGACGTACCAGAAAAGGTGTTTTGGAAGGGTTTACGATTTTGAGGGCGCAACAGTTACAATGAGTCGCGGAGTTGAGGTCCCAGGAATGGCGTTCTGGTAACGATTCAGGATCGCCAAGTCGCAACAGTCAGGTTCATCCGTGGCGTTGGAATACTGGGAATAATGATTTGGCATTCTGCAGAGTCTTCACACGGTTGTCGTCCAACGAGGCGGGCCCCTCTGCGGAAGTGAACCGCTGCAGGGGCCTATGATGAGGGGGTTTGGGGGAGGGGAGGGGTTATTCCAACATCGTTGGTGACTCTTGGGCTTACATTGGTCCTCCCCCTCCTCCCCCTCCTCCCCCTCCTCCCCCTCCTCTGGTCCTCTTCCTCCTCCTCTTCCTCCTCCCCCTCCTCCCCCTCCTCTGGTCCTCTTCCCCCTCCCCCTCCTCTCCTCCTCCCCCTCCTCCCCCTCCCCCCCTCCTCCCCTCCCCCCTCCGCCTCCCCCCCCCCCCTCCTCCCCCCCCCTCCTCCCCCCCCCCCCCTCTTCCCGGAGAGCCCGCTCCCGGCGGCGCAGCCCCGCGTGCCGCGCGGGCGCGCGCCCCCGCAGTGCCCGAGCCGCACCAGTGGCTGTGCACCCGCGGGGAGTCCTTGCTGAGCCGCGGCCTCGGCCGCGCGCGCGCGGGGGCGGAGCGCGAGCCCCCGCGACGGCGGCGCCGCCGCGCGGCGGGCCCCGCTCGGGGAGGATCCTCCTCCCCCTGCTCCTCCTCCTCCTCCTCCTCCTCCTCCTCGTCCTCCTTCCCCCTCTCCTCCTCCTCCTCCCCCCCCTCGCGACTCCCCCTCCCAGACCCCTCCGGGACCCCCTCCAGGACCCCCCCCCCCCGGCCCAGAAGAGCCCATTGGGGTCAAGCAGTGGCAGGCGCCCCGGCTCGCCTGCAGGCCCACCGGCCCACCAAGGGAGTGCCCCAAGAGACGCCCGTGGTTTCGGCGAACTGTTCTTAGGACGCTTCTGGCTCGGACGCTGTCTTGGTGTGTCGGGCCGGGCGAAAGGGGGGGATTGGGAAAGGGGGGGTTACGAAATTTGCTGCATGCAGCTGGTTTCGGCCCCACCGAGGGGCCCATTCCTCGATACATAGCCGCCTCCGGCGCCGGGAGGCGCCGGGAAAATCAGCTACGTGAGCTGATTCTCAAACCCCCCCTTTGCTATCCCCCCCTTTCGCCCGACCCGAGTGTGACGCCTCGGATGCAGGCTCGAAGGACATGTCGTGGCAGGCCTCTGGGCCTCCAGGAATGCCGGGACGGTCGGTCCCTGCTCAGTGGGGTGCTCGGCGCCCCCTCGGCGCGGCGCTCGGCGCCCCCTCGGCGCGGGGGTGTGGGCGGTCTGCGGGGGCTCAGCACGCGCGCCCGACGTCGAGCCGAGCCCCAAGCTGCCACTCAGGGGTCTTCAAGACGGCACGCTTCAAAAGGGCCTGCACCATTTGGGGGGCACAATCCGACCCCCATCCTATCATCACCCGGCAAGGTACATGATGACACCGTCCACGACATCCGTGCCATGAGCTTCCGCCCCGCATAGGGCCCGGCACGGTCCTCCAGATGATCGCTTGCCTCGAGCATGTACACCCTAGGCGATGCTTAAGAAGACTTAAATGTTCGGCCAGAGTCTCGATTATTCTTAATGTTTCAATGTAAACCCTAAGATTTCAATCGAAATCCTGGGTCTTTACTCAAATTCTGAGACTATGAATTTCTTAACCCATGATTTCTTAAGCACTTCGCATGGTGTACTGCGTGCCGGACCCCCCTCCATTCCGGAAACGTGGTAAACTGATCTCGCCAGGGGGGGAAATACGTCTTGAGCGAAGCGGTTCTTCATTTTTTCAAATACAATTTTTTATTAAACCAATACGTCGAGATCTCGGGGCCCTCACGAGCCCCAGGACTGTCAGACAACGATTCGGGATGAAGAGCTCGTTCTGTTGGAAGGCCTGCGGATCCAGGACCTGCTTCCCTGATGACCTGTTTCCCCCATTCTAAAGATCGGCGGTCCTGATGTAATTTCTCTCTAGAATGCCGTACATTCGACCAACATTTCCCACGCTTCGCGTATCCCCACCAATTGCCCTATCTTTCCTGCTACCTAGTCGCGGCCCGACTAGTGTTCGGACGGCTTTCGACCCGCCTCGCGAGCCTGTGGACCAAAAAGTATCCCCACCCGCCCATTGAGGCACTTTGCCGATGGGAGTTGGTGGGAGACGAGCGGAAGAATTCTTGAAGCGATGCCCTGGCGAGTTGCCTTCTCCAGGGAAGTGTAGAAGCGTGCAACTGTCAGGAGAGGAAGAAACACACAGACACAATTAATCGTCGATTCCCAGGGAAATATGGGAAAATATTGGAATTGGGGGGAAGACAGAAACCCCGAAAATATGGGAAACTATGGGGAATCCTTTGATTTGTGTGTATTTATTTGTATGTCTCAGGGCCCCTTCAAACTGAACGCCTGCCCAGAGAGGTACGAGGAGGAGCAGGAGGAGGCGAACCACGACGACGAGGAAGAGACGGAACGGGAGGACGAGCACGGGAACGAGGAGGAAGAGGCGGAGGACGAGGAGGAGGAGGAGGAGGAAGAGGACCACGATGACGCGGAGGAGGACGAGGAGGACGATGAGGAATGACAGGAACATAACGAGGATAACAGGACGAGGAGGAGGAGGAGGAGGAGACAAAAGGATGAGGAAAAGGAGGAGAAGGAGGACGCCGAAGATGAGGACAAGGGTTCCGGCAGCCATCTTTGGGTTCTCTTGAGTCCTTCTTGGCATCTTCTTAGGAGTGTTTTGGGGCCTTCTTGGGCCTTGGGAGCTTTGTGGCGGATCTTGGGGCCCTCTTGGGGCTCTTTCTAGGTGTATTGGGGCCCTCTTTGGGTGGTCTTGGGAGCCGTGAAGGGCCTCTTGGGGACATCTTGGAGACCATCGATCAAATTAGGAATCGTCGTAATATCCCCCCCTTCTCAAATCGCATCTTCGGACCCTCTTGGGGCGTTCTTGGGTGCTTCTGGGCTCGTCTTGGGTACTTCTTGGGCCCCTCTAGGGGTCTCTTTGGCCATCTGGAGGCGTCAGAAGCAAATCGGATATGAATCGGCGAGACGGCACACAACCTTGACTTTCCTTTTTGTGTTTGAAGGATTTTGGTCTCTTGGGGGGTTCCCGAGGGGGCTCCGAGAGCACTTGAGGCCAGCTTGGGGCTGTTTGGGGGGCATCTTGGAGCATTGTGGAAGCCATCTTGAGCCATCGTCGGTTTTATTGAGCCATCTTGGCGGCCGTCTTGGAGAATCGGAGGCTGTCTTGGAGCCATGTTTGGCGAAAACGAACCCCCCATGACACCCCGCGGAACGCCCACGAAAGCTTTGGCAGGGGAGGGGGAGGGGGCCCTTTACCGGAGAGAAGAGGGGGCTTGGGGAGAGGAAAGTGAACCATCGTCAGACCAGCTACGCCCGGAGGGCTGGTGGGATGCTAAGTCAAGCTGTCGTATAGTTCGACTCAAACTCGACTCAAAGCGAGGGACGTTCGATGCAGCACTGACGCACGACTGGTTCCTGGAAGGTCTCGAAGAACGTCGCGGGCGGCAAAGAGGGGGGTGATGACTACGGGGGGGATATCATAGCGTGGGCCATGAGATTTCCCCAGACCTCATGGCGCCTCTTCTTGTTTCCTTACGTCCCTGGCCCAACCCTTTGGCCGCGCACGTGCCGCCGGCGATGATTTGCGCCCACGAGAACGAGTACCTGAGGCGACGGGCGAAACCGAGCCAGCCCTTCGCGGGGTCCCCCCGCGGCAGAGGAGCAGCGCCCTCGGACTCTGTCCATGGGCGTTCGGCCTCAGAGCGCTGCCTTCCCCCCTCCCCCCCCCATGTTCGCGGAGAGCTCTCAGGGAACATTCGGGAGGAGGAGGAGGAGGAGGAGGAGGAGGAGGAGGAGGAGGAATAACGCTCCAGCCACGTAGCCAAAGTCCGAGCAACGTTCCAAAGAGCCCCCCCCCCAGGCGTCGAAGCTGCAACAGGTATCTGGAACTCCATGGGTGCCGCAGCCGTACGTCGCTTTTGGGAAGGAGCCAATCTAGAACGCACAGGTAGTAATCTTCCAAGCAGTGGGAGATGGTGGACGAGGAGGACACGGAAGCTGAGTGGTAATGCCGGGAGGATCGGGGTATGGTTCGAGATCTGGTTCGGCCGATGAGTCGCACATGGTATGTTGTTTGTTAACTCTGTGTTTTGACCTACACAGGAACCCCTGACTTGGGATATCGCCCCTGACATACGCGACAGTGGCACCGTGAATTTCAGAGCAGACGCCTCAAGAGACGTTGCCAAGGGAAGAAGAGGAAGAGGAAGAGGGAGGGGGATGAAGAGCATTCAGAACATGATGAGGAGGAGGATGAGGTATGGAAAGAACATCAGAAAGAATGTGTTCTACCGCTGCTGGCGGAAAACCGGGGGGGTCACTACCAGTTCGAACCCCCCCTCCCCCCCCCCCTCCGGAAAACCGGGGTGGGTCACTACCGGTTCGAACCCCTCCCCCCCCCCAGTCCATCATGGGACGACCCCCCCCCCCCTCGAAAACCGGGGGGGTCACTACCGGTTCGAACCCCCCCCCCCTTCGAAAACCGTGGGGGGGGGGGGCAGACAGTGGTGGGGACGGTGGTGGTGGGGACAGTGGTGAGGGGACAGCGGGACAGTGGTGGGGACAGTGGGACAGTGGTGGGGACGGTAGTGGTGGGGATAGTGGTGAGGACAATGGTGGGAACAGTGGGGACAGTGGGACAGTGGTGGGGACGGTGGTGGTGGGGACAGTGGTGTGGGGACAGAGGGAATGTGGTGGAAACAGTGGGACAGTGGAGGGTACAGTGGTGGTGGGGACAGTGGTGAAGGCGGTGGCGAGGACGGCGGTGGGACAATGGGACGGAGGTACAGAGGGGACAGTGGTGGGGACAGTGAGGACAGTGGTGGGAACAGTGGGACAGCTCAGTGGGACAGCGGAGGAGTCAGTGGGACAGAGGGGATAGTCGGGCAGTGGTTTGGGCCGTGGAGAAAGTGGGGAGAGTGGAGCCGTGGTGGGAACAGTGGTGGGGACACTGGGGACAGTGCGACATTGGTGGGGGCACTGGTGGGGACAGTAGGGACGGTGGTGAAACCAGTGGGGACAGTGGTGGTGAGGACAGTGGTGCTGGGAGCAACAGTGGGGGACGTGGTGCGGACGGTGGTAGAGACCGGGAGTCGTTTGCTGGCGGTGAGGGGGGGGAGGGGTTCGAACCGGTAGTGACCCCCCTCCAGTTTTCGAGGGGGGGGGTTCGAACCGGTAGAAACCCCCCTCCCCGGTTTTCGCGGGGGAGAGGGGGGGAGTGGTTAGGGGAGGGGGGAGGGGTTTTGCCGGGGGAGGGGAGGGGGGGGGGAGGGGGAGGGTCCAGCAGGGCGGGGGGGATTTTCGGAGGGGGGAGGGGGGGGAACCTTGGGTTCCAGAGGAAGAGGGGGGGGGGGGGGGGGGGGGAATTTTCCACAGTAAAGCGGCGGTGGATCACGCTCTCTCATTAGGACATACAATGGGTTAGAGGAGGAGGCAGAAGAAGAACAAGACGAGGAAGCGAATGGAGAGAACAGCAGTATGATATGGAGAAGTACGATGAGGGGAGGAGGACAAGGAAGAGGAGGACAGGGATAGGAGGTAGGAGGTGGATAGTGAGGAGAATGGTGAGTTGGGAGGTGGAGGTAGGAGGAGGAGGAGGAGGAGGAGAAGGAGGAGGAAGAGGAGGAGGCGGACGAGAAGCAGGAGGAGGAGGAGGAGGAGGAGGAAGAGGAGGAGGAGGAGGGGGAGAGCAGGAACAGACAGACGCCATGGGTGGATCAGCACCACATGAGGAGTAGGAAACGAACGAATGGGAGGAGACGGATGGGGAGGTGGAGGAGCCGGGGCCTGACAAACAGACCCTGCGGGCATGGATGCGAGGCGGGGACAGTGGTGCCGCAGCATGTGGGTGAGGAGGTTTTGAAGGATGAGGCCACGCCTTCCTCCTCGTGTTCCCCCTCCCTCTTCTCATCCTCGTCCAAGTTGCATTTGGTATACCATTTGCGTTCCGGATTCTTGCCCTCAGTTTCGTCGGCGGCCTCACCCACCGTTGTTTCTGTTTCGGTGCCGCCACCTGCAGCTACTCGTTCACCTTCGGCTCAGCTTCGTGTCCCTGCACATACTCCCTACCCCGTCTCGATCTGTGGGGGATCGAGGATGTAGGGAGCAAAGAGCAAGTGGGGGGGGAGGGCGCAAGAGGGAGAGGAATGAGGACGGATGCAGGAGTTGGAGGAGTTGGAGGAGGTGTGGAGGGTCTGTACGATCGAAATGGGTACGGAAAGAATTGGCACGATGCCCAACAACAGTTCTTGTTCATGTTGAACAGGACTCGCTGTCCGCGCCGCCGCGGACGCTATCCATTTGAAACTGAAGACCGCCTGCCCCAAAGCGGCCGCGTTTTGGACAACAGTTGTTGTTAGACAACAGTTGTTGTTGGACAACTACGTTTGGGGAGGGGGGAGGGGAGGGGAGATGAGGGGATGGGGAGGGGGATGGGGGGAGGAGAGGAGGACAAGGTAGGTACGCTCGCGTCATATCTGACGTCCTACCCCTCCCTCCCATCCCATATAATGGCGTAGTTCTCCTCTTTTGTCGCACACTCAGATGTCGTAGCAGGGCATAGCATTACTTGGCATAGCATGGTGCTGAAGATCAACACGTATATTGACATAGCATGGCGTGGCGACGCCGCAAAGGGGGGGGGGGTCCACCGAATGTGCCATCGCTTCCGATGGTAATTTCGGGGGGCAGTCTCTAGATTGTAGGGCGTATCTGGAAGGACCGAAAACCATGCTGGGGCATGGCGCTGGAAATCAGAACGCCAGCGCTGCAGCGGGAGCACGATTCCGAACGAGCGGAAGCGCGGAAATGAAGCCAGCGTTGCAGCGGGAGCACGATTCGGAGGACGCGTAGCCTGAAGAGGAGGAGCAGGAGCAGGAGCAGGAGGAGGAGGAGGAGGAGAAAGAGGAGGAGGAGGAGGAGGAGGAGGAGGAGGAGGAGAAAGAGGAGGAGGAGGAGGAGGAGGAGGAGGAGGAGGAGGAGGAGGGGATGGGGAGAGGGAGTGGATAAGTTGGAGGAGGAGGGGAGGGGGAATGGCGAGAGGGAAACAGAGGAATTCGGGTGGGATCGGGGAATTCCCATCACAGAAGCTGAATGCAGGGAACGGGGAGGAGCAGAGCGGAGGAGGAAGCGAGAAGATGCAGGTGGAGGAGTTGCAGGAAGTGAAGTAACCGCGATCGATCTTCATGGTAGGAGCAGGACAAGCAGGAGGAGAAGGAGGAGGAGGAGCAGGAGGAGGTTGAGGAGGAGGAGGAGCATGAGCATGAGCAGGAGGAGGACGGGCGAGTGTGTCTCCCGCCAGGAGAAACCGGGGGGGAATGGCTGGAGGAGGAGGAGCGCCAGAAGGGGAGGGATCGGAAGCAGAGGTTGCTGATGTTGAGCAACGGTTTCCCAGGACAATCACAATGCGCATGTCGGGGAGCGTGGGATTGTGGGGACGATGAGCACGATTATGATGACAAGATGGAGTGGCATTCGGTCAACGTGTGTAGCCGAGGTTATGTGTCTGCCGACATCGTGAAAGCAGGCGAATCTGGCGCACAGTGGTACAGGACCGCCTGGAGAAACATGTAGAGAAGGAGGTTGATCTGAAGGAGGGAGGGAAGGGTTGGGAGAAGACACGCAAGACGAGTGGACGTATTTGTCAGCATATTCTGGCACTCCCTCAAATGATTTTCAGGCCAGGGGCGCGCAGTTGCCAATCTCGAATTGCCCATATGCTCATCCGGCCCACGGATACAAGCCACACATACGAATACTGCTCCCAACTTTGTCGAGACCGTGGCACCCATACAATCGTCAGACGCCGGCGGATCTTATTCGCCGCGTCTACCTGCGACGTGTGGTCTGCAGACCCGGGGGGATGCTCGGCCCCATCGTTGTCCGCGCCATTGCTCCTCCTTTCCCCAGCCTCGGCATCTCATCCTCGTCCTCCTCTCCTTTCCCCTCCCCGCCGAGGAAGAGGACATGCACGACCGAACACCTCGCCGAGGGACACCCTTTGCTCTCGCGGGTCGAGGGCCTCTGCTCCGGGGCCTCCCCGTGTGCCCTGGCCATATAAGGGGTCCCCGCGCTGTCTCGCACACGGTCCTCCCCCCCTTTGCCCATGGTCCTCCCTCCGCCTTTCGCCCGATCGTCCCTCCTCCATCCTCTCCCCTCTTTCTTCGTCGCTCCTCCCTTCTCCTGCCTCTGGCGCCCTGTGCCTCTATGTATGCTCCTTTCGCCCCTGCTCCTGCTCTCTCTCCCTCCCTCCCTTTTCTCCTCCCGCCTCCCTGCTGCTCCTGTTACCCACCTCTCCTCCTTCCTCTCATCCTGCCTCCTGCTCGACTTCCGCCTCGTCCTCTCCACCTTTTGAAAAAGAGCGCATCGGCTCCCAGTCTGGTGCCCGACGGCCAGGGTATCGACATGTGGCTAGCCCAGCTGCTACTGGATCGCCCGCGCCGGTCGTGGTGGTGCCCCCTGGTTCCCAGTCGCTCCGTGGCGGAGGGATGGGGGGGGAGGAGTGTTTGGGCTCTTCGCAGAAGCTCCTAAGGGCCAAGCGTTAAGTCGGGCCTGTCCCCCTAAAGGGGGATTTTCGACGAAACTTAAAAATACACCAAAAATAGTGCACGCCTGTATCTCGAGATTGAAGGGCGATTGCAAGACATTCGGGTGAGGTCGCACACTGGTGTTGACAAATCGTTCGTCTCCCTTACTCGGGACTCCTGTTGGAGATCTCCGCCCGACCCCCTCTTCTGGCTAGCCCCTCCCCGTAGCTGTACAAACACATAGAGAACGGTTTTCGAACGATCTTTTGTGTCTCTGGGTGCGGGGTCGGGGGCCGTCTGTATTATAGCTCTCATTGCGTTGTGTTGCATTGCTTTGCCCCCTCGCGCGCGTTGCGTTGCATTGCGTTGTCGATCGCGTCCTTGTTAGTGCTCATAGCTTTATTCAGCTCCTGCCTTTTCAATGGGGCCATCACGATAACTTTGGTGGCTTGCCCCGTGAAGGAGGTTGCGGCCTAGCTGGGGCACCGGCTCGTGGTTGGTGCACGCGTGTACCTCGAAATGGAAGCGCGATTGCAAGACATTCGGGCGAGGTCGCCCAGTGGTGTTGACAAATCGTTCGTCTCTCTTTCTCCGGACTCCTGTCGGAGATCTCCGCCCGACCCCATCTTGTGGCTGCCCCCTCCGCGTAGCTGTACAAACAGACATGTATATCTGTTATCCTCCCTGTCGTCCAAGTGGGAAACTTACAAGGAATGCCGCCAATACAAGAGTTTTGAAGAGAGAACCAACGCACGCAGAGCGGTGGAAGCTCGGTTTCGCGGGAGTTGTCAAGGCACCCCGGCAGCAACACCAAGGATGTACCTCCGTGAGGCAAGAATGGGCTGAATGTTCACCTCATTTCTGCAGGACCGAATGCCGTGATCATGTCCCTCCGCGCAGCTCTGATAGCGACATCTCCCAAAGTTGCCGACCCTAGCCTCCACCTCAAGGAGGTTGGCACCCTAGAATTTTGCACGACGACTATGCGATTCACCTGACCCGTGTATTCACGCTGCCCAGAACCACCCCCGCCAGTCCTTTTGCCCATGAGGGACCAGGTGGCTTCCGATGACCACTTGGTTGATGTGACCCGACTGCGGTACACTGGCGTACAACGGACAGGAATGTACCGTGCTACTCGCTGCACCCACAGACCCCCGACACTAGGTGGTTTGATATTCGCATCGATAGGAGCGACGGAGCACTGAGATCATCAGATCTTGGATTTCCCGCCGTGCCGCACATGGCGCCAGGCTTTGTCAGCCCCCAGACCCTGGGATCCCGTTTGTCCCACCGCGGTGCAGGCTTGGACAATTCACAAATCCGGGGGGGGGGGGACGGACGGGAGGCTACCCGCCTTTTTTGTTAGGAAGGGGAGCCAGTGGCACCATTGCCCCCCCCCCGAGGGAGGCTGAGGGAGGGAGGGCAGGATGCATGTTTGCTGTGGGGACTGGAGAGGAGCGGACGGGGGGGAGCGGGAGGGGAGCCGCAGGAGGTGAGCAGTCGGGAGGGAGCCGCAGGAGCGGCAGAAGGGCGGAGCGGGAGGCATGTGTTGCTGAGGCGTGTGTCTGCTGGTGCACGGTCTTGCGGGTGAGGAGGGGAGGGGGAATGCCAGGAGGAAAAGAAGCACTCAGGCACAATTAATTGTCGATTCCCCAGAACATATTTGAAAGTATGGGAAGTGGGGGGGGAAGACAGAAACCCAGAAACTATGGGAAGATACGGGGAATCTTTTCATGTGTGTGTGTCTTTGGTTGTATGTCCCAAGGCCCCTTCAGAATGATGCCTTTCTCCAGGTGCTGCTGGTGTTACTGGGGCATGCGTTTGCCTCAGCACTGGGTTCCAGATAACCCTCGTCGCCAGTGGCGGATCCGCCTGCAGTTTCTGGCCGGAGTCAAGAGAGATCTGGGGGTCGCTGTTCAGGGAAGGGCAGGAGGGAGAAAGAGGAGGAACAGGCCAGTAGTGTGTTGCTCGGTCCTCTGACGTTGTTGGTGTGGGGGATGATTGTTTTTGGTGCCTAATTCGTGTGTGTTTGTTTGGGGGGGTGTTTTGGAGGTTTGGGATGGGTCTTCAAGATTGCTTCGGGACACGTGGAGCCTTGGATGGACTCCTTGAGGAACAGATGGACGAATGAGCAGGAGACGATGGAATAGAGCATGGCGGAGGGCGAAACGTGGTGTTGTTGGAGGGGGATGAGGAGTACCAGTGTAAGCCCAAGACCCCATGACGAGTTTGTAATAATCCCTCCAACCAAGTTCCCGCTTCACAGTTCTTTCAACGGGTTCAGTTTCATGGAGGGAAGTGCACCGTTGAAAGAGAACCGTTTGAACATCCTCAACCGTGCAAGGGCACCATACCTACGACTGCAACGGCGCGAAACAGCGTTCATGTTGTACCCTGACGATCATGAACCTTGCCAGAACACTCCTGGGAATTCAGCACCTGTTCTGGGACTCTGCGGTAAACTCTAAACACAAATGCGCGCGGCGCTAAGACGAGTGCGCGTTAGGAGAGTGAAGTTGCAGAAGCGATTGATCAGGATGTCGACGAGGCAGGAGGAGGGGGCGTGGAGGGCAGTCGCGTGCCGCACAGCAGCGGCGCGTTGCCGCGATCACATAACACCCGAGATCCCCTGCTGCACGGCCCCGCAAGCGCGTTCGGTTAAGAGCGCCTCTCGGACAGCCAGCCAATCACGCCGACGGCGACGCCGCCGCCGCTGCCGACGCCGAGGGCGACGGCGCCGACGATAAAGACGAAGACGAAGATGTGAACAAAGGCAAGGACAACGGCCGCCGCGGGGATGGCGACGGCGGCTGCAACGGCGTTGCCGAGGACGGGGATCACGGCGTCGACACCGGCGGCAGCAGCAATGGAGGCGACTGCGGCGATGGCGGAGAAGGAGGCGGCGGAGGAGGATCAGGATCGAGCTGGGCCAAGGCTTTCGATTCCCGCCGTGATTGCCATGATGGATCATTGGACTTGCGTGCCGTCCGTGTTCTCGAATTGCGAGGCGAACCTGCTGGACCTGCACAGGCGGGATCGGAGGGCGGGGCTTTCCGAACGTCGGGCGGGCGGGCACTTTTGTGGCATCTGGTGCTCTTGCGGCGTCGTGGGGCATGTGTGGAAGTCATGAGGCCAGGTGTTTCGTGCCCATTCTGCGAAGGCCGCCTCTGTCGCAGGATTCTCGGGAGAGGGTGCCACGAGTCGCGGTCTGGGGCCTCCTGTTCTCGACCGTCAGGGGCCCTGGCGTGAGTCCACCCAGGAACCCGTTCGTTCTAAGGACCCATGCCGCACACCTCAGTGCTCAGCCCCACTGCTGCTGGCAGGAATGAGCATGACCAGCCGAGAGTCGTCGTGGGGGCATGGTTCATGATGTGTGCTCGCCCTTAGTGGGCCCCGGAAACGGCAGGGACGTTTTTGCACAGTTTCCGAAAAAGTGCCCCTTGAAAATGGAATCGGCAAACAAAACGGCGACCGGAAACGGCAGCAAAAACGGCTCCAGGAGTGGAATCGGAGCGGGAACCCATACAACAACGGCGACGGAACCGGTAAAACAACGGCGTCGGAACCGGCAACGAAAACGGCACAACGGAACCGGTAACAAAAACGGCCTTGTCGTTTCCAACACCAGCCTCGAATTTATCCCCATCCCTAAGATCGACACGCCGGAAGGCGATGGCACTCTCACGGATGCGCCCTCAAAAACGGAGGGATTCCCGAAGAATCGTGATAAGGGGCGATGCCCAGCATAGGGATAGGGATATTCCAGATATCATCACAATGGGGGGGGGGTCTGCTTTTGGGGGGGTCTAGCGGGCTCCGTCAAACACAATTGTGGGGGGGTCTCGATTTTGGACCCTCTGTTGCCTGTCTGGGGGGGGTCTGCTTGGGGGGGGTCCCAGACCACTGTTTTGACCCCCCCCCTGTACTATGAGATTTGGAGTATGTTCAGAGCCCCGAATCATCAGGGGTAACTCGGGTCAGGGATAACTCGGGTTCGCCTTTTCGGGAACCCGAACCCGAGTTACCCCGGACCCGAGTTACCCCGGATAACTCGGGCGCCCAATATGTTCCAGGCTGGCAACTCCAGGGCCCACGGAGTGCTCGCCGTCTTCGGGTCCCCCGGGGCCCTGCGCGGGCCCCCGGGCTCCGTCCGAGGAGAGGGCTGCGGGGGCTGGCGCTCTCGCGTCCCCGGGGGGGGGGGAGGCCCCCGGGGCCCGGGGGGCGCCCGCTGCCCGTCGTGGCCCGTCTCTCTCCCTCTAAGCGTCCTAGCTGGGGTCGGAGTAGACCCTGGGCGATGCGTAAGAAAACCAGAAAGTTTTCGTCCAGAGTCTCGAGTAGTCTCAATTCTTTACGCTTCGCGTATCCCCACCAGCCCATCTCACAGCAGCAACTCTTGCGAAGCATGCCGACAGTCGTGTTTTTCATGCGTGTGTCCGCTTGGCCCCGCATATCTCCCCTGTTCCTCTTTCCTCCCGCCTCCTTGTACATCCTCCTTGTGGGGGGAGCGGGAGAAGGACGAGGCGAAGGAGGAGGGAGAGAAAGCGCTCCTCGTGATTTGAGTCGTTTGGGGTTTCTCGTCCTGGTGTGAGTCGTTCGGGCCCTTCTTCCTGGTGTGAGTCGTTCGGGCTCTTCGTGGTGTGAGTCGTTCGGGCTCTTCGTCCTGGTGTGAGTCGTTCGGGCTTCTCGTGGTGTGAGTTGTTCGGGCCCCTCATCCTGGTGTGAGTCGTTCGGGCCCCTCCTCCTGGTGTGACTCGTTCGGGCTCCTCGTGGTGTGAGTCGTTCGGGGCCCGCGTCGTGGTGTGAGTCGTTCGGGCTCCTCGTGGTGTGAGTCGTTCGGGCGCCTCGTCCTGGTGTGAGTCGTTCGGGCCCCTCCTTGTGGTGTGAGTCGTTCGGGCTCTTCGTGGTGTGAGTCGTTCGGGCCCCTCGTCCTGGTGTGAGTCGTTCGGGCTCCTCGTGGGGCCTCTTGGGGGCCTCTTGGGGGCCTCTTGGGGCCTCTTGGGGGCCTCTTGGGGGCCTCTTGGGGGCCTCTTGGGGCCTCTTGGGGCCTCTTGGGGGCCTCTTGGGGGCCGCTTGGGGGCCTCTTGGGGCCTCTTGGGGGCCTCTTGGGGGCCTCCTGGAGGCCTCTTGGGAGCCTCCTGGGGGCCTCGTGGGGCCATCTTGGGGCCTCTTGCGACCTCCTCAGAAGCGCAAATGAGCGCTGCCCCCTGAGAATGACAAAATGAGCCCCAAACCTTCGTAAAATCAATGATTTTGCTAGGAAGGAAGAGGAGTGCGGCCCCCTCAGAAGGCCAAAATGGGGCCAACACCGTAATTAGTAGAATCAATGTTTTTTGTTTCAAAGACGAGCTGAGGGACCAAACTCCCCCCCCCTCTCGGGGCCAGAATCCTCGTGAGGGTCGTCGTGTTTTGGCCCTCCCAGGCGTCGAAAAAGACCCCCCTGACGACGCTCGGAACTCCCTCTCCAGGTCCAGGGGGAGGGGGTAGGGGGAGGGGTAAACCTCTCCCCGAAGGGGAAGAAGGGGGTTGAGGACAGAGAGAGCTCCCTAAACCACTCACGCCCAAAGGGCTGGTGGGATTTTTCAATGTAAATCCCAAGATTTTGATAGCAGTTCTGGGTTTGATTCAAGTTCTGAGACTATTAATTTCTTAACCCATGATTTCTTCAGCATCTCGCATGGTGTAGATGGGGTCGGAGGAGTGCGCCGCATCGCCGATGCATCGCCGATGCAGCTCGATGTGGAGCCCGATTTGCTTCACGTCGGCTTCGCCGAGGCATCGCCCACGTCGACGATGCATCGCTGGTGCATCGCTGGTGCATCGCCGATGCATCGCCGATGCATGGGCGATGCGGTGCGATCCTGCGACCCCATCTGCTCCGACCCCATCTAGGAGGCCTCTACTCCCCCCGTGCCCGACGAGGGTCGGGAGGGGAACAAAAACACACACACACACAGACACCATCCATCGTCGATGCCCCCGAGCATCTGGGAAAGTCTGGGAAGTGGGGGGGGTGGACAGGAGCCCAAGATGGGAAGATATAGGGAATCCTCGTTGTCTCTGTGTGTACACTCTAGGCGATGCTTAAGAAAACCAGAGTTTTCGGCCAGAGTCTCGATTTTTCTTCATGTTTCAATGTAAACCCTAAGATTTGAATAGACATTCTGGGTTTGTTCTCCAAGTTCTGAGACTATGAATTTCTTAACCCATAATTTCTTAAGCATTTCGCAGGGTGTATGTATCTGTGTGTCCCAGGGCCCCTGCCGAGGGAGCGGAGAGCGGGCGGGACGGTCGGCGGGCGCTGCAGTTTGCCGCGCGGCGTGCCGTCCGCAGGGGGAGAGAGTGCCCCTGCGTTCTCGCGGGCGGCGCGCGCCTTGGAGCGCGGAGAGGGCCTGGGCGTTTTGGCGACCGCCCGGTCCCCCCTTCCTTTGTTCTGCCTCCTCCTCCTCCTCCAGGCCTCGCGCGCCCCCATCCCTCTCTCCCCCCCCCCTCCGCCCCCGATGCCCCTCCATCCTCCTCCCCGTCCCGCTCTCCGCTGCTCTGCCCCCGGTCCTTCGCCCCTTTCGCTCCTCCTCTGGTGCCTCTGGGGGGCTCTCTTGGCCGTGCTGAGGTGGCTTCCCGATTGATCCATGTTCAACGGCACCGTAACGGGTACTTACTAACGGGTACTTTGCAATTTTGCCGAAAGTTGCCACTTTAGGGCCTCTTTCTGGCAATGCAGCGTTGCCCGCATCGGGAAGGGTTGGGTTCGCTGGGTCATTGGCCAAAGTACCCGTTAGTGGAGTCCCCGTTTGTGGGGCGTTGACATGTTTGCGGTCGCCTGAGGGGTAAATTCCGAGCCTCGTGGGAAGGCACGCCCTTTTCTCATTCCTCCCCCTCGCTCGCCGCCGAATCCTCCGCCACGCCCCGCTGCCTCGCGTCTTCGTCTTCTTCTTCCTCTTCCTCCTCCTTCTCCGACGACGATGGATGGCGCAGTCCCGCCCTCGCTCTTCCTGTAGTCCCGCCCCCGCTCTTCCTGTTCCTCCTGTTCCCTCTCCTCTGCCTCCCGCTTATCTTGCTCCTCTTTCCCCTCATTGTCTGCATGTTGTTTTTTTTTATGTTGCTCATCCCCCTGCTTCGCTTCACCCTTCACCTCTTCCTCCTCCACCTCCTCCTGCTCGTGTTCCTCTCAATCCTCCTCCTCCTCCTCGTCCTACGTCCCCTTCTCCTCCAGCGCCTCCTAAGGCTCCTCCTTATCATCCTCCTGTTCCTCCTTTTCCTTCGCCCAGATGTTCGTTCTTCTTCTCCTGTCCCTCCGCCTCCTACTCTCCCTCTTCCCCAATCCTGTCCTGTTGATTCTCCTGCTACGCGATGTCTTCCGGGCCCGCACAGGTGCCGAAGTTGCATACTAATTCGGATATCACTTTCGCCAAGCAAGGTAGTTGAAAATCCGACGGCACTTTTGAGTGGCGAACGGCTGTGACGTTGCCTGCTTGGCTGATAGCTCATGTTCGCTGTGTTGTATGTTTTTATAACCTGTTTGTCCAGCAGTGTCTCCCCTTGGACAGCTGGCCCGCGTGGCAACATTGTAACATGAGCAATTTCGGTAGCTAGAGTTCTCTTGGGCGCTCGGCCACAACATTTGGGTCAGGGGGGTGGGGGGCAAGATTCCAAGGTGGTGTGGATTGGCGACGGGTCACGTTTCCAGGGTAAATCGCGGATTGCTGTCGCCGAGCGAGGCGGCTCTGGCCGCATTTTGGGGAAGGCACCTCCCTCGATCCATGTTTGCGCGTCCCCGAGGAAGTACCCCGGTCTTCCGGGAAGCGTTCTAAGCCTTCCCAGGGGATACGGAGAACCTTGCAGAAGGTCGGAGGCGTTCTGAGAAGCCCCGCCGCTTTCTGAGAGGGCCTTCTCCCTCTCACTTCCACCCCTCGTTCGCCGCCGACGAATGGATGCATGGACGGTATGCCCCGCTAGGGCGGCATTCGGGGGTAAGCCTTCCCAGGGGATACGGAGAACCTTGCAGAAGGTCGGAGGCGTTCTGAGAAGCCCCGCCGCTTTCTGAGAGGGCCTTCTCCCTCTCACTTCCACCCCTCGTTCGCCGCCGACGAATGGATGCATGGACGGTATGCCCCGCTAGGGCGGCATTCGGGGGCCCCCGGGCGCGGTGTGGGCTGGTTTGCGAGGAAGAAGGCGCGGCGGAAGCGACGAGCAGGAGGAGAACGATGAGGATTGTCAGCATCGTCTAACCTATCCCCATCCCCACTGGGCCATGGTATCACAGCCTCACCAGCCCCATGGTATTCGGCATGCGTCCCGCGAAATCCGGAGGAATGCCATATGAGGCGTTCCAGAAAGGTCCTTGCCTTCGACGATCGAAGGAGTTGTCAGCTCTTCCGCCGCGGAAGGTCGGCGGAAAGAAGATGAGGCCGCCTCCGGCGGCGGAAGCCGGCGCAAGGGCGGCGGAAGGCGGCGGAAGGAAAACATGCGGCCCAAAGAGATGAAAACGTTGGCGGGTTCAAGGTTTCTGGAATCGGCCATCTATCCCGACCTAGCCGGGTAAGTCGGCGAGTGGGGCCAAGGCCATGCCTTCGGGGACAGGGACCGGTCAAACGACACTCAGATTTGCGGCCCCCTCCTGCTTCTTCTCACTCTCAGAGCGAGTCGGTATCATATCTCCCACTGGGCTCCCTGCCCGTCCTTGTCACTGCTCGAGGCTTCGCCTCAACCACCCTGTCGACAGGAAACTTGACAAACCAGTGAACCAGGGGGGACCATGAAGAATAAAGACGTGCCAGTCCTCCCCCGCCGAGTCCAGGTTCCTGCCCGCGGACTTCGAGGCTCCGGCCGCGGGCTCGGCCCCGGCGGCCGCGGGGGGCCTGAAGTCGGCCTACGTCTTCAGGCTCAAGGCGACCACGGGGGGGGGGAAGGGGGGGGGGAGGGGGTTCTGGGAAGAGGTCGGGGGGAGGCAGAGGGGGGAGAGTAGGGGGGGTAGAGTTATTTCGGGCGTGTCCCCCTACAGAGGGATTTTCGACAAAAAATTCAAAATACCTAATGATTATTCCAAGAAGATCAAAAAATTCTGAAAAAATAGTCCCCGGATTATTTGTAGACTAGCTTTTGTTATTTTTGGGGTATTTATTTTCAGTCGAAAATCCCATTGTAGGGGCACAGGCCCGACTTAAGGGTAGAGGTCGAGGCGGGGGGGGCGAGGCGGGACGATGGGGAGGAGGGGGGCGGGCAGGGAGAGGGATGAAGGCACGCTGTTGGCGGCTTCTCCTCTCTTGGCACTCGCGGGCAGCCCTCATGATGATAGCGGCGGCGACGACGAGTAGGATGGCCTTGGACAGCAATAAACGTTAGTTTTGGCAAGGGCAATTTTCGGCATCACCGTTGCAGCGGATTTAGTCAGCACGAGTTGCACTAGCAACACCTGCATAGTAGTCGTAGTCGCCGCATAACCAGCAGTAAGAGTAGCCAGCGGTAGTAACAGCATCTGTTGCAGCGGCATTCATGGCATTAGTAGAAACACTACAGAAGCAGTGACAGCAGCAGGCAGTCGCAGGACATGCATCAGGGTCAACAAACACAAGCAGTATCAGGAGCGCAGCAGTAGCAGCGGCACCATGAGGCGACAGCAACATACACATTTTATATGTAACTTGACAGTGTTACACAATCAGAAACAACAATATGCAGCAACAGCAGCAGCCGTATCTTCAGCCGTGCTTCGATGTTTAGGAACGTTCGACTCGTTGCGTGCTTCAGTTAAGACAACTCGTTGAGCATTGCGTCAGAGGAACTTCTCGGCGGAATCGCCATGCCGACCTCGAGCCGGCAAAACTTCGATTTGCGGTTCGGTAGAACCCCTGGGCGGAATCACCTTTTCGATAGCGAACCAAGAGGTTTCGGCATTTTTTTGTAATTTTCGCTATGATATGAAGTCCTTGGCGGAGTAGTCGTTTCGACTTGGCCAGCCCGTCTGGTATTGTCGAAATTTTCCGTTTTCGAAGTCGGAAGCGTGGTGTTTGTTTTGGGAGTTCCCCAGGACGAGCAATTTCGTGCCCGTGTCGAAGCTGGGAGGTTTGAAGTCTAACTGGCGATTCCGCCCAGGACTTGTCGAACGACAGCGCTTCGACCGAAGTCGGAGCTCATCGCTCCCAGGTCGCATCGATCGACGATGTCGCTCAGGACTTCAGGAGCGCAAATTCGGCCGAAGAGGCAAGTTTTCGGCCGGTGGCCAAACGGTTCGAACATTTGTTTGATCTGCAGGGCGAGTTCGAGCCTCTTCCGCTCAAAGCTCCGCGGGACGCGCACGGCTTTCATCGACAGCGAGGGGGGGCGGAGCAGACGGGGCCGCACGTGGCCAGAGGCGGGCGAGGCCCCGGGAGCGAGCGGTGCCGAACGGGACGTGCAGGAAAAGGTACACCTAACTGTTCGAAAACATCGTAGCGAACGGTGCGAACGCCCAGGACGAGAACCTCCCAGCTTCGACATGGGGAAAGCGTTCGCTGCGCACCCTACGTTCGCACGAGAATCTCCCAGGAAGAGGTCCGCGGCGCACCGTGGGAGCTTCGTGCATCGGGTCCCCGTCGCCGAGCGCGAGGCGCTGCACTTAGTGGCCTATCTCTCGCAACGGCGAAGTATAGGCGCAGCAGCACAACAAAGCTCAGGAGGGGAAGAAACACACAGACACAATTAATCGTCGATTCCCCCGAAAATATGTGAAAATATGGGAAGTGGGGGGGAAGACAGAAACCCAGAACATATGGGAAAATATGGGGAATCTTTTTATTTGTGTGTATTTACTTGTGTGTCCCAGGGCCCCTTCAAGTAGGTGCAGCAGTACAACAAAGCAGCGGTACCACAGCACCCTTTGTCCAAGTCTTGTGCTCAACAGCAGTAGCAGCAGTGACACTTGCAGCAGCAACGCCGGGGCATACGCCGCCGTGCGAACACCAGAAGCAGTCAGGTGCAGTATTGGCATCCCGCCAGAGTCGATGTCTACATGAGTAAGTTGGGCCACCCCCTTGCTTCTCGTAGGCATCCCTCCTACCCCTCCTTTCTCCTCGCTCCTCTCCTCTCCTCTCCTCGTCTCCTCCGGTTCCTCCGCTTCTTTCGTATCCCTCTTTCCTCCTGTGCTCCCTCCTGGCGCCTCCGTTTCCCCATCAAGAGCGTTTGTCCGCGGAAGCGCGTGTTGCCGCCAGGTGACCGGCCTGACCGACGGGTCGACGCAGGGCAGCATCATGGCAGAGTATGAGGACAGGGCCGAAATCCTCGCGTTCTCCTCGTCCTTCTCCTCCTCCTCGTACATCCTCGTGTTCTCGGAGGTCGTGATCCTCCTCCTCCTCCCGCTTCTGATTGTCCTCCTCGGTCATCGTCGTCGTCGATTTTGTCGTCGCCGCCGCGCGGCCTTCAGCTCCCCCGGTTCCTTGACCTTGACGTGGCTTGCGTTCACGACGTTTCCTCCCCGGCTGCGGTGGGTGGGTTTGCCTCGTGTTGCATGGGCCTCCGTGAGGAGTCCACGCTTGCCGGGCTCCCTCGGGAACAGGTTTGAGCTCATTCAGTGTGGCCGTGGTGCCGATCGTTTCCCTAGGGATTCGATGTAGTGAGTCTCAGTCTCGGCATGCTCGGTCATCCTCAATACTCAGCCCGTCCTCCTGCCGCTTCCCGTCTCCCTCGTCCTGTCTCATTCGCCCTCCTGCCTCCTCCTCCGTCTTCCTGTCCTCGGGGAAGCCACAAGCTATCTCCAGCTCACCCTCCCACCCAACAGGCAAGCGAGACCCAGCCTGGGCACATATCGCCGGCCCACAGTGCGGAGGGCGAATTTGGTGTGCCAGGCGCGGCGGTTGCGTCAGCATTCTGACCGCATTTGGACATGGCAAGAGTGCACCATCCCCCACATCTTGAGTGTCGTTCGTGTTCTCCTAGACCAGTCTCTGTTTCCGCTTCCTTCCTTCCCTCCTCCCCCTGCTCCTCTGGTCATGTTGGCAAGCGCACTGCATCAGGGCTCGTTCTCCTTCTCCCCTCCTCCCTCACTCCTCCACGCACCTTCCCACCCCATGAGTCCCATAACAGTCCGAGCAGTGCCGTCTTGTCCTCCAGGGAGGCCCCGCCGTTGGACGCTCAAGGAAGGTTCTGCTGGACCGCGGCAGGCATCCCCACGCTGTGCTACGTATCAGTTCCCACAGCCTTCCCGCTGCACAATCCTCACCACTGCCGTCTGGGCCTCCCGGGAGACTCCCTCCATGGAGGCCCCGCCCTCTCCATCAATCCCGCGGTGCAAGTCGAAGGGGGGGGGGCGTGCGCAGTGGTGAGCCATCCCCGTCCTGCTTGCTGCTCCCCCTTGCCTCCTCCCCCCCCGGTGCCATCCGCTTTTATGCGTACACCTACATGTCCTGAGCCATACATATCCTTGCTTTGTTGTTGTGTTCCTGCTGAGCTTGCGACCCACCTCACAATCCCTTGTGTGCGGCACTCCGACTGCATCATGGTCGTAGGCTCTTGTGTTGCCAGGCGCGGCTCATCGGGGTCCCACTTGTGGACCGGTGCGCATGCCACACGCTGGCAGCCTTCCAGCACGGAGCCAGCGCGGCTTGCATTTTTTCCTGTTGGCAATCGTGCAGGGTGCGGGCTGCCGTCTGCCACCCCTCAGCCCCGCTTCCCTCACACGCCCCGCTCCTCCCGGGCTGCCCCCCGGCCGCGGCGCAGGCACTGTTCGCGAATGCGGTCTACCCGTTCCTCAGACCGTGCGGGGCGCGGGTGGCCGTCTGCCGCCCCGCAGCCCCGCGCCCCCCCACGGCCGCCCTCCTCCCGGGCCGCTCCCCGGCCCGCGGCGCAGGAGCTGTTCGCGAGCGAGGTCTACCCGTTCCTCACCGAGACCCCCTTGCAGCACGTCCGCGTCTTCTTTGACGGGGACACCGTCGAGGGCCACGAGGCGCGGCCTCGGGCCTCTCGGCCGGGGCACATGGCCAGGGGGTGAAGTAGTGTTAGGTCGGGCCTGTCCCCCCACGGGGGGATTTTCCACGAAAAATGAAATACCCCAAAAATGATCCAACAATCGTCCAACAATTGTCTGGGGACTATTTTTGGGGAATTGTTGTTGGCCATTTTGGAGTGCGTTTGTGTTTTTTATATACTCTTTCGTCGAAAAGCCCCCTGTATGGTGGACTGGCCCGACTTCAAGAGTAGCGGGGGGGGGCGGCAGGACCCGGCGGCGAGCGAGGGGGGGAAGTGAGAAGGGGCGGGCCTTTTCAGAAGGCTCAGACGTCCCCCGGACTTCTGAGCAGTTTTCTAAGCCTTCCCCGGATACAGGAACAAAAAGCCGCCCGGAAGGCACGGGGGCTTTGAGAAGTCCCGCCGCCCTCTGCGAAGACCTTCTCCTCCTCAGTTCCCCCCCCCTGGCTCGCCGCCGAAAGACGAGGCGGAGGAGGGGGATGCCCTCCGAGACTCACTCGCCAGGCCTTGGGAGCGGTGTCGGGCCTCGGCGCCTGAGAAAGGCGCAGGAGGGAAAGAAACACACAGACACAATTTATCGGCGATTCCCCAGAAAATATGGGAAAATATGGGAAGTGGGGGGAAGACAGAAACCCAGAATATATATATATATATATATATATATATATATTAAACATGGGGATTGTTTTATTTGTTTGTATTTACTTGTGTGTCCCAGGGCCCCTTCAAAGGCGCCGCAGCCCGGAGCTCGCTCGCGCGGCTGCCTCTCCCCGGCGGGTCTGCCTCCGGCGCGCGCGCTTTGCGGTGCCCCCACCTGCGCGCCCTGGGCCGCCCGCTCAGCGGCGACGCTGGGGGCGAATAGCCTTAAGGCGGGCCTGTCCCTCTACAGGAGGAATATTAAAACATAGAAAAACAAATAGTCTGGGAACTATTGTTTGGCATTTTTTGAGTTTTTTGGTGTATTGTTTCGCCTGTTCAAATTTCTCGTCCAAAATCGGCCTGTGGGGGGACAGGCCCGACTTAGGAGTAGCCCAGGGGAGAGCAACCCATGTCTTCAGGTGCGCCGATGCTCTTGTGTCTTCGAAGGGGCTCCCCGGCGGATGCGTGCAATGCCCGCCCCTGGGCGATGCGCCCCTACCGTCGCCGCCGGTCCGCACGGGGCGCACCAACGATCCCGCTTCTCGGCCTTGACCAGAGGGTTGTCTTCGGTTAGGGGGCGGCGGCACGAGAGCGCGAAGGCAAGGGCGCAGCGCGATGCGCGAAGTGAGGCGACCCTGTTGAGTGCCGATCGAATGCCGACCGTGGCTCACAACAGTGCGCGTCAGTCTGCGGGACTCCCAGCTGCTGCGTTCCGTTCTTCCTTTATGAGGGGGGATTGAGACGACGTTTCCTTCGGATTCCCTCCCAAGGTGCATCCGCACCTCGAAACCCCGTGCGCCCACCCCCTCTCAGAACACCCTCAAGTCCAGAGCGTCTCGAGCAACTTCTCCATTCCTCCATGATCCTCCGTCCTTGAGGAGGACGAGGAGGGGACTATTCCTCCTCGTGCCTCCCCGAGGCCACCAGAACGATTGGAGCGAACCAACAGAGACGCTGGGACCGCTAGCCAAGCGATCCAGGGAACGAACGGAACGAGCCAATTCTTGAATCTCCCGGAACCGCCGCAAGGTGAGTCTGACCCTCCGGAATGACGCCATGTGGGCCCTCGGCTCCACCGCGATGGTGCTGTTCTTCCTGTGGCTCCACACGCGGAGCGTGGCCGGGGCGGCATCGGGGCCTCCAGTCGTCGCGATCATGAGCATCCAGAGGAGGGGAGAAGAAGGAGGATATTAAGGATGAAGCAGGCTTGGTGTGCTCGCGCCATATCTGACGCCCTGCCTCCCCTACCCATCCCTTCCCATTTCGCTGAGTTGTTCTCTATCCTGTGACGAGTGTCATAGCTGACCCGGAACTCTAAGAAAGGACCCCATCGGGTTATGCGGAATCGGAAAAGGAAAGCTGCGTACACTGGATGAGGAGGTGTCGGACGAGCGGGAGGATGAGCAGGAGGAAGCGGAGGAGATGCAGGAGGAGAGGGAGCACGGGGACGGGGCGGCGTTGGGTGACACGTTGGGTCCCGCGATCCCAGAGCGAAGGAAGGGAAGGGGAGACTCGATAAAAACGAGGCCGCTGGGAGGGCGGAGCGCCCTGGCCCCTGGAGGCACGAGCACAATGAATGCCTCGCCGATGGATTGAAGGGGCGATCGGGCCAGACAAAAGGGGAGGATTGGGAAAGGGAGGGTTACGAAACCTGCTGCACGCAGATGGTTTCGGCCCCACCGAGGGGCCCATTCCTCGATGCATGGCCGCCTCCGGCGCCGGGAGGCGCCGGGAGAATCAGCTGCGTGAGCTGATTCCCAAACCCCTCTTTGCTATCCCCCCCTTTCGCCCGGCCCGAGACGAGGTGTGGTCGAGCTAAGCTAGAAGCAACGTGCCGCAGACAAGCAAGCGCCCCCTGCAACGACCTGCGTGCGCGCCGGACGAGGGGGAGCGGAACAGATCTCAGACCTCGCCTGCTGAGGCGGCGAGGGAGCGGGGGAAGGCACACGGGAACCCAGGCCATTGCTTCGCGCCGCGCACAGCCACACAGGAAAGCAGGCCAGCGTCTCGCGCCGCGCAGGGCCTGACATGGAGGAGGCACGCGCAGATGTAGTAGACGTTCTGGTTGAACCGGCGAACCACGTGACCACGTGTTCCCTCAGTGCGCGCGCGCCGCGCCGAACGCTAGGCAGGGGGGCCGAGTAAAAGTACAGACCTCGCTTGTTGAAGGGGTGAGTTTGGTGAAGTGAACCAAGCGAAGAGTGGGCCTCACTGCAAAAAAACAAACGGCAGAGAACCAGCGACCTTTACGACAAAGTTGCCAGAGCACGGCTCTGGCAAACTACGAGCGTCAAGACATCGCGCACACACATTCACCACACACAGAAAATGCAGAATCGCCGCAGACCTCGCACGATGAAGGAGGGAGCCTGCGACTGCACTGTTCTTTGCGTCCACAGAGCGTGCCGCTCTCCGCTGGGGGGAAGTAGCGGCCATCATCCTGTGCGGCGGGGCAGTGCTCGGGCATCGGGGGCCCGGCCCACCCCGGCCGATCGGGGAGGAGACGGACGAAGACCGAGCATTCTCTTCGGGTGGAGGGCTCAGGGTGAAATCCAGATGGGCTTTTGCACCTCGAACACCAATCTGTCTTGTGATTCACCTTTTGCAGGTTCAAGCCTCGAACATCCATCGAAACGGCATTTCAGATTTCACCCTTTGCCCTCCTCCCAAAGAACATGCTCGGGAAGAGGCGGAAGGAAGGTGGGGGCCAGCATGCCCCACCCGCCGGCGGCTCGCGTCCGAGCGTCCCCGTCCCAGCCCAGAGGACAGGGGGCGCGCTGCACCCCAAGAGAGGAACAACCAGGAGGGCAAGAAACACACGCACACACAGACACGATGAATCCTCGCTTTCCCCCCAGAAAATGTGGGAACAGATGGGAAGTGGGGGGGAAGGCAGAGACCCAGAAAATGCCTGAAAAAATATAGGGGAATATTTTTATGTGTGTGTATTTATGTGTGTGTATTAATTTGTGTGTCCTGGGGCCCCTTCGAACGAGACGCGGGGCCGGCGCCCTGCGACGGCCTGCGCCGCGCCGGGGCGCGGGGCACGGGCAGCGAGCAGCGGCGTGTGGGCGTCTGTTCGCCGGTGGGGCGAGGCTCGGAGCAGGCGAGCGGGGCAAGCACGCGCGCCGTTTGGTCTGGACGCCCGAAATGGGTACTGAAAGAATGGGTATTATGCCCAACAGCAGTTCCTGTTCATTTTGAACCAGATCCGCTGTCCACGCCGCCGCGGCCTGTGTCCATTCGAGACAGGAGGCCGCCTGCCCAACAGCGGCCGCTGTTGGTTTGGGACAGCATTTGCTGTTGGGCATCGTACCCATTTTTTCGGTACCCATTTCGGGCGTCCAAATTTGGGGGGGCGAGACCATGGGCAGCGTTAAGTCGGGCCTGTCCCCCTGCAGGGGGATTTTCGACGAAAAAAAAATGCCCCCAAAATAGTAAAACATAGCTCCAAAATAGTCCGGGACTATTTTTTGAGTATTTTGGGGCCTTTTTGGTGCATTTTTGGGGCATTTTTTATTTTTCGTCGAACATCCCCCTGTAGGTGGACGCCCGACAGAAGGGCAGCGTGATGAGCACGGAGACCTCTAGTGTCGAAGGTGCGGGGGTGAGGGGGAGGCTCGATGGCAACAAAGGCGCTGCCACGCGAGCGGTGGGGGACAACGCGCAACGGCAACCACAACGCCCTGCGACCGTTTCGCCGCTCAGAGTGCGATGAATGGGGGAGCACACATATCACGTGTACCTCGGTCCCTCGCTTTGGGGGGAAGGGAGCAATAGCAAAACGCTGACCGAGGAGGGAGGAGTTCTTTGCGACATCCGTGTTGCTATTCATGAGGGAGGGAGGGGTGGTAGCTTCCGACGCCCAGCCAGCTGCGATTTGGAGGATAGGGGGTGGCTTCCGAAGTCCCCCTCTTTGGAAACGGGGGAGGGGGGCAGCTTCCAAACTGGGGCATGTGGCCTAAGGTCTCCCCCGTGCCTTTTGACAGGGGTGCCTGGCTTTCAAAGGGTGGGAGGGGAAGGGGCGGAGAGGGCTCCCGAATCCTTCCCCGCTTCAGCAAGGAAGCGAGGCTTGTATTGTAGGTAGCTTGAAAGCGGCCCACCCCGTTTCCCTTGAAGTGCGCGGCCATGGCGCTTTGTCGCAGGCTGACCGGCTGCTTACTTCGCTGGCTGGTCAGCCGGGGAGGGCCACACGAGCAAGCTGCCGTTTTTTTTGGACGTTGTGAGCATAACTTTCCGCACCAATGGGCACAATTCTGCAGCCAGAGTGAGCGTGTATGGTTGAGACACGGGGGTGCGTTCTCTTTTCTGTGCCCAGATGCACAATCCTCCATTGCCACATCAGCGGAACGATGAATCGTGGATCATCGTTGTCTTATCTCGGCATTTGCTCCCTCCTCGCATCTTCCCTCCGCATATCTTCTCATCGCACCTCTTCCTCGCGTCTCTCCCTGCCTATGTCTTTACTCGCGACCATTTGGGGTCCGCGCAGGTGGTGGTAAGCCTTTCTGTGTTGCTGGTGATGATGCTCGCGCTGCCACTTGCGTACGTCCTGACGCCGGTGGGAACATGGGGCGGGCAGCGGCGAAGACAAGGTCTGCGCGCATTCGCGAGATGCGGGCCTTTCGAAGGCAGGAGCCAGAGAGCCGTGGCCCGCCATGTTGTCGGTTTGAAGGTTTCCGAAGCCATCGGGAAGCTGTGGAGGTCAATGCTTTGCTTGTTTTAGCAACTCCCATGCCGCCAACATCGTAGAGCGGATTCAGTTCGGAAAACACTGGGAAGGGCCCAGAGTGTCCTGGAGAATTCCGCTCTGGATTTCGAAGTGAATTTCGTGTGGAATTTTTGGGGCCAGGAATGAAGACTAAAACAACTGGACATGAAATTCGCTTGGTTTTTCGCTCGCCGTTTTGGGGTTTTACATTTAATCGCTTCGCTCATTCCGCCGGCCCTGGAGCCCTCTTTAGGGCCTCTTGGGGGCTTTTTGGGGACCTCTTGGGACTCTCTTGGGGCTTCTTGGCGGCGTCTTGGGGGCCCCCCGGGCCTCTTGGGGCGGGAGGGGGGGTAGTCGATTGCGGCTCCCCCCTCGGAGGCCACGATCCTCGTGAGGGGTGTCGAAAAATTGCCCGGTCCGGCATCTCTGACCTGGACCTGCCAGGACCTTGCCGGGACCTTGTCGGGATCTTGCCGGGGTACTTTTCGCCCGGAGACCCCCAGGGGCCGCCCCGCGCGCGCGAAGTAGAATATTGTTGACCAGTTACCGGAGACCTTAGCAAGCCTCTGGCCCGTTGGGCCGGCGAATTGGCAGGACTCCATGCAGTAATCCTCGGCAGCACGTCTGCACGGTGGTGCAGTGTCAACTCCTTTTTGCTGAGGCTTCCAAGAGGCGCGCGACGATCCTGAGAGAAATGGGAACCCTTACATTGCAGCATCCGTAGGGTCTCGCACATGGTGCACCAACATATGTATAGCATACGCGATGAAGGCGTAGGATATTGCAACGTATGAGGGAAGAGGAATTGTTCATACCGAAGGGGTTGTGATGTTATCGTCATCGTGCCATAGGTGATTGAGAGCTCCCCATCGATATGATCAGGACTGCCACGTTCATGGTGCACGCAGTGTTACAGGCTGTCATGAGTCCTGGCCAATTGTCCATTGTCACATTACCGATTTTTTGTCGGATGGGGTTGGCTCTTCACTGAGGTCGCCAGCGGGGGTGTCAGGATAATCGTTCTGTGTGCATCGCGGCCATGGCTGGAGAGTTGTCCTTCTCGTCCCCCCAGGGGGGACGAGGAGGGAGGTGGAGGAAGAGAGCCCAGCGTCTCGTCGATGGGATGGGTATCCCTCTGCATCTGGTCGATTGGTGGCGGAGGACCCTTCTGAGCCGTTGCTTCACAAGCCGGGGGCGGGAGAAGGAGGAGGGTATAAGGTGAAGGACGATATTGGAGTTACAGGAGGAAGAGGAGGAGGAGGAGGAGGAGGAGGAGGAGGAGCGCGAATCTTGGGAGGATGGTAGGGAATGTGGACGGGGACGAGGAGGAGGGGGAGCAGGAGCAACGATGACGGTAAGGGGGGAATGGTGACGATAACATGGGGAGACCAAGGGGGAGGAAGCTGAGAATGGGCATGGTACGGGAGGGACAGATTTTGGACGCTTTGCGTATCCTGGGACGTTAGCCTCGCCTGCCAGCCCAGACGACGCCTTCCGCTCCCTGTCCGCCGCCTCGGAGCCGCCGACCAAAAAAAAGTATCCCGGGAGAGTTGCATTGATACTGTTATTGCGGTAGCGCGCAGTGGAGTTATGCGATTCGGCAGTCGTTAAACCGACGATTGGGGTCTGCCTGAGCAGGACCAGGAGTCAACCACACATGCCTCCGCGGATCGTTCGATATGGGAATTTCTTGGCATATTATTTGGGCCTTGGAGCCGTTTCGGATGCCTTTGGAGCCTTTTATGGGGTATCTTCGGTGTCTCCTGGGCCCCCCTCTGGGGGGGCGTCTCGGATGACACCATTCCACGGAGAGAGGGGTTGTCCCCAACTTACCTCACCTCTTGGGACACCAACTATAGTGGAGGCCCATGCCAATAAGCACCCTGCTTGCCTCCAGGGTGCCCTGGGTTTCTTGCGTTTCGAGGGCGAGGCGTTCCCACATGAAAAATCAATGGGCGCCCTGGGGTCTCAGGGTTGGGTTTCTTGTGGGGAGGGTTCCTTGTGGACTGGCCTCCACTGTGTCACGTCGTGTGTGCATCTTTCGTCGTTCGGGGCCCACGTGGGGCTCCCTGGGGCCATCTTCGGGCGGCCGTGAGGCCTCGGCAGCCCATCGGAAGTTGAGACACAGGCGAGAGGGCCACCACTCGTTGTGCTGGTTTTGGAGGGGGCCTGGGCCTCCCAGGGTGTTCCTCGGGAGGTCCCGCGGGAGCGGTCGTGGGCACTCTGGGAGCCATTTTGGGATCTGTTGCGTCCTCCTTGGGGCCCTTGTTGGGCCCTCTGTGGAGGCCATCGTGGGGACCATCTCGGGATATCTTGAGCCAGCCCCTCGCGACCAGCCCCCCCCCCCGTCCAGACCCCGGGGGAGGCCCTCGAAGGAAGGCCGCCCTGCTCACTCCCACCCGCGCCCTGCCACCACATGGGTAGTACCCAGGTCTCAGCACGGGCATCGATCGGCGGCGAGCGAGGGGGGACGTGAGAAGGAGCAGGGCCTCTCAGAAGGCGGTGGGACTTCTCAGAAGCCCTTGCGGCTTCTGAGAAGTTTTTTGTGTGTTTTCGGGGAAGGTTTAGAACACTTCTCAGGAGTCCGGGGGGCTTCCGAGCTCTCTGAGAAGGTCCGCCCCTTCTCACTTCCCCCTTGGCTCGCCGCCTAATCGAGAACCGTCGGGAACCGATGCAGACCCCCGCCGTGTGCGTGACGCCCGCGAGGTGCGCTGCGCGTGCCAGGGCCCCCCCGTCGCCCTTGCCCAATCACAGCTGAGAGTGATCGCGGGGCGTCCGCGCATGGTTCAGATGCTTGCTGCAGCTTCTGCCTTGTTTTGTCTCCTGTCAGGGATGGTGGGCCTGCTTGTAACAGGCCCCCATATCAGGACCCCCCCAAAATTCAATACAAAGTGATCGTACACCGTAGGCGATGCTTAAGAAAACCTAAGTTTTCGTCAAGAGTCTCGATTTTTCTTAACTTTCCAATGTACATCCTAAGATTTTGATAGAAGTTCTGGGTTTGTATTCCAGTTCTGAGACTCTGAATTTCTTAACCCATGGTTTCTTAAGCATTTCGCAGGGTGTACGGTGCCCGCGCATGATACAGATGTTGTTTAGCGAAGCGTACGTTCGGTGCTGTGGATGGGGGGGGGTGCGGTCTTCATGGTTCCAGGTTTGACCCTGGTCAGGTGGGAGCGGAGGACGGGGTGTGTTCCAAACCACGTCTGCCCAAAGGGCTGGCGGGATTAGCACGGGGAGACGGAAGGGGGGAGAAGACATGGAGGATGGGAAAGAAGAGAGAGGAGAGAAGGATTTGGCGGACGAGTAGGATAACGAGGATGATGAGGAGGTGGAGGTGGAGGTGGAGGTGGAGGTGGAGGTGGAGGTGGAGGAAGGAGTCTTGCACATATGAGTAGGAGAAAATTGTTGACGGAGGGGGCAGATGATTTGAACGAGGTGTCATGACGGAGATGGGCGACAAGGAGGGGGACAAGGATCATAAGGGTTGGATAGGCGGGATGATGAGACCATGATGAGGAAGGTGTAGGCGGAGGGATGATAAGAAATAGGAGGAGGAGGGGGAAGGCGAGGGGGAGGACGAGGAGAAGGAGGATGATGATGCAAAAGGGGGAAAAGGATGTCCGGGGCACAGGAGAGGGAAGGTGTCGATTACGAGCGCCTCCTTCCTTGCGATCTTCTTGACCATCGGAATTGGGAGTGACGTCGTGTTCGTGTTCCAGGACTTCTGGACCCAGTCCGAGGATCAGGTGCAGGACGAGGTCCGCGACAAGGCTGGCCCGAGCTTTCTCTCGCCGGCGGGTGCGACAGCTTCGCGCCGCATCCACGCGGTGGCGACGCCAGCGCGGACGTTGACGGCTGAACACTTTCTCGGCGCCCCGTTGTGGCGCCCCGGGGCCCAACACTTTCCCGGGGGCCCGTTGGGGCCCATTTTGGCTCAAGCTTTTCCCTGGCTCAAGCCAGCTCAAGTGGCACAAGTGGCACATTAATCCGGCTATTGAACTTTGCTTTCTCTAGCTGCCTACTTCACCATCTGATCTCTCACTCTTCTGTCTGTTCTGCTTCTCCGTTGGACAGTCGGAAACATGTCTAAACGTGCGGGGACTGCGACGGGCTCGACACCTGAGAAAAAGGAAGGCCGTAAAAGCAAGATGATGGAACTTCTTGACGAGACGGCCGGCGAGGGGGAGGATGCGGATGTGGAGGTAGTATCGGACAGTGCGGGAGGTGGACAAGTGGATGGCGGGACGGAGGCACCGCCAGCGTGGTTCCAGCAGTACGAGCAACGCCAGAACAAAAAGCTCAATGCATTAACCAAGCAACTCAAGCACGTCAGCGACACGGTCAAACAAACAAAGGAAGAAATGCAAGAAATCAAGGGGAACATCAGGGAGTTGCGCAACAAAGTCGTTGATCTCGAGGGCGAGGTCGAAATGATCAAGGGGGACATGGATGACCTTTATGTGACACAGGAGGATGTGCAGACAATGGTGGGTACAATGATGCAGGATATGGTAGGCGCGATGATCGAGGAGAGGATCAAGCACACGATGCACGACCGCCAGCCTACAGCAGCAGGAGGAACCAGGAGGGATGATGGAGAAGGGGAGGCGCGACACAAACAGGTCATTGCATTCGGCTTTGCAGACAACACGCCATCCGCATCAGTGGTGGAACATCATGATGGCATACTGAAACAACTACTTGGGGACGGTGTGCATGCGAATGTGACGACAGGATCGGACGTAACAAAAATGGGAATGATGGAGTTCCCCAGCGTGCAGGCTAAAATTGCATTTTGGAAAAAGGCGCAGGATGCTTTGAATAAGGATGAGCACGCCTTCGGACAAATATTCTTTCGGAACAACTTGACCAAAGAAGAACGGGACCATGAAAAGCGGTTGGGCTACACCAAATATTACCTCCAGAAGCATTCTGAATATACCCACCGAAATATTAAGATCATATGGAGTAAGAAGATGGTTGTGTTGAGGGACAGCTCGGGGAAGGAGAGGAAGGTTGCATGGTATGACGGGGAGGGGGAGTGGCATACCACCAAGGCGGGAAAGGCAGTGGAGAAGGAGGTGGAGGAGGACATGCAGAAGTGGAGGAAAAAGGTCCGGCCGGAGCCGACCACCGACAGCGAGTGACGCTACGGCGAGACCGGCAGGACTACCAGGGGGAGCACGGCCACATCTACGGAGAAAGGGCGACGGCATGCGACGGGCATGGGTTCGCAAATACTTGTTTCACCACTTATCGTTTCACCTCGTGCACTTCTCACGGATGGTTCTCCGATGCATTTCTCTACAACTACGGTCGATGATAGCACTAATGAGACTGGAATACCCCAGCCAACAACATACCCACCCACCCAGTCAGCAAATCGAGCGGGAAATGGGGGGGGTGTATCAATGTTTTGTGGTGGTGGGAGGGGCAAGTACAGGACAGTAGATGGTGACTTTCTTGGCAGATTTTTCAATACCAGCCCTCTTCAGGATCCGCCTTCAGGACCTGCCGAGCCCGACCATGCGACACAACCACCGGCGCCTTGTGCTGATTATCGGCCTCTTGTGGTGCTCCACAAGAACATCCGAGGCCTCACTTGCGATGACAGGTTCTCAGAATTACTATTGGAATTGGCTACATGCGAATGGGATGCAATACTTATCAATGAAACGATGCGTCCAGCAAACAACGAGATGTTTACAGTGGAGGGTGGACATATGTATGCTGGGTCCGGTGGGGGATCATACAAACATGGCGTTGGGATACTCTTGCATGCGCGGTGGGTTCATTGTTTCAAACAGTTTGTGCCGGTCAGCAGTCGTATTGCATACATGGACATACGAGGCAACATGTTACGGATGCGATTTGTGACGGCATACTTCCCACATCACAAATATCCAGATCGTACTGTGCAGGAAGTCTACGACGAATTGTCCAATATTGTGAAAGCAGGGGCACGGGAAAAACTGCATATCGTCATGGGCGCGGACTGCAATGCCCAAGTCGGGCCGGCAAGCGACACGGACAATCGACGAGTGTGTGGAAAGCATGCTCATGGCGACGGCGATGCACGAGGGCAGTGGCTTAAACAATGGGCAAACGCACACAATCTAGTGATTGCGAACACGATGTTTACCAAACAACCTCATTTGTTGCCGACGTATTTCCACAGCTCGCGGCATGGGCCTCGACAGATCGATTACATTCTCACGTCAAGGCTTTTCTGGTACACTGTGACAGACTGTGTTGCTTCTTCAACGATTAACATGGGATCCGACCATACCGACGTGCTCATGCGAAGTAGTATTCTCAAACAAAGGCCGGGTACGAACAAGAAGGCGCAGAGCAAAAAGACATCGACCAAATGCAGGGTTACGACAAATCCGTGGCCACCTGCGGACACGAAGCGGTATACACAGAAAGTGGCGGATGCACTTGCGGTTGCAGAGGATCAGGGTGGGATCCAAGACAGATACGATTCCATCGAAAAATCAATCACGGAATCTATGGCGGAGCCGGGGGTACATGAGCGGAGAGATACGGTAAACTCTACGTTGCCCCAGTTCCGGAGCAAGCTGGACGACCTCATCCAACAGCGCAAACAACTTGGAAATACAGACACGGCTATGCGACAACAACTCAGCAAACAAATCCGGCGAGAGATACGCAATTGTGGCAGGACGGACCGACACAACAGGATTACGACCATTCTTGCAGACTTTAGGGGGCTAAACAGAATCAGCGGGATCAAGAGCACCAAAAAGAAGGACATGATTATATCGATGCAGTCAGCTCCTGGAGGGCATGTCCACGACAGACGGGGAATAGCCGATGTGTTTGCAGACTTCTACGAATCTCTATATTCAATGCCCAGAGGATCAGGCCCCGATTCTCCCGCACACGGCGCAGAGGAACGTGGGAGCATTGCACCCTTCAGTGACGACGAGATGCGGCAGGGACTTCGGCAACTCAAGACCGGCAAAGCTGCAGACACAAGCGGAATAGCAGCTGAAATGCTGAAGTACGGAGGAGAAGCTCTCAGGAATGCGTTGCGGAAGCTTTTCAACGACATTGTCTTGGACGGTACGGTGACACCGAAGCAGTGGAAACACACCCAAATCAAGGTGATTTTCAAATCTGGAGAGCCAGCCCTACCGCAGAACTACCGTCCTATTTCGATGATCCCGCTCATGTACAAGCTATTCTCGCGATTGCTGTACAACCGACTGGAACCGATATTAGATTCGAAGCAGAAGCCGGAGCAAGCTGGATTCCGGCGAAATTTCAGCACGGATGACCATTTGTTCACATTCGCGATCGTACAGGAGAAGGCGCGAGAGTTCCAACTCCCACTGTGGGTTGCTACGTTGGACTTCAAGAAAGCATTCGACACGGTCTCACATGAATCACTTTGGGAAGCTATGCGAGCACACGGAGTTCCGCAATCATACATCAGCCTCATTATGTGCTTGTACACGGACCAGACGGCTTGTGTCAAGACAGACGTATGCAGCAAAACATTTACCATTAGTCGTGGGACCAAGCAAGGCGACCCATTAAGCTCATTACTATTCAACTGCCTCTCAGAATTCGTCTTCGACAAGTTCCGCACAAAATGGGCCGACAGGAAATATGGTATACAGTTGGGAACGCACAGAAATGATTGGCTTACAAATCTTCGATTTGCGGATGACGTTCTCTTGGTCGCCACTTCCCTTAGGCAGATTAAGAGTATGATTCGGGATGTCATGGACGCTGCGCAACCATGTGGCTTGGAAATACACCCCGGGAAGACCAAGATCCTGCATAACATGCAAGAGAGGAGGCCGCGAAGCAACCCAGAACAGACAGTCGTCAACGGAAGCTACATCGAAATATTGCCGTACTCTGCAACGCAAAAAATATCTAGGACGGCAAATTACATTCCGTGATCCGACAACGACGGAGATCGAATCCAGAATCAATGCGGCATGGAAGAAATTCGGCTTGTTCAAGCACGAGCTCACCACACGGTCGTACTCATTGGGGGATCGTCTGCGGCTCTTCAACGGCGTTGTATCACCTACACTTCTTTATGGCGCGGGTTCTTGGGCAATGACGACTCCGCTGGAAACGCGAGTGCGGGCCACCCAACGCTGCATGCTCAGAATGATTCTCGGATCACAACGTCGCCGCGTTCAAGAGAACGGCACGGAAGCGAGCGACAATAACCAGTCTGACGGCCCGAACGACACGTCGGATTCGGAAAGCAGCACCACCGACAGCAACGACACCAGCACCTCAACTACACCGAGTTCGCATGCCCAAAACAATGTGGAACCATGGCAGGAATGGATCCGACGCACGACAAGGCATATTGTACAGTACTACCACGACTTGGGATATGAAGACTGGTGCGTGCAACAACGGAGACGACAATGGCGACTACTTATGGCAGTTCTTACAGATGACAAGGGGAAATGGAACAGAAAAGCTTTACTATGGGAGCCGACCGCGACGAATGCACGCGCAAAGAGGCTACCACATCGACCCAAAAAACGGTGGGTTGACGATCTGACAGAATACTTTCTTACAGCGCATGGACAGCATTGGCTACATTTTGGAGGAAGTATGGATGAATTGGAGGATGATTACGTTTATCACACAACATCAACAATATCCCCGGTGACTGAATGAGCGGCGCCCCGGCGCCACCTCCCAGCCCCCCGCGCGGCCGCCCTTTTGGGCGAACTGGGAGTCGCCTCGCCTCGGGGCCCACAGGAAACATTCTCATCACGAATGTCCATGCGAGGGATCGGGTCGGCAGCCTCTGGAGACACCCGGGAACGGAGAGCGATCGTTCAGATCTCCAGGAGACTGCAAGCCCCTGGAGGTCAACTATGTGGATGTCCGTGCAGGTCTTCCGAGGCACTCAGAGGCTAGGGCCAAACATCGAGAACCAGAAAGCTGGATTCCCCTCTTCGAGGTCATTCGAGAGCAGAGATCATCGGGGACTCAGCGGTTTACGCGGTCCCGAGGTCGTTCGAGAGCAGACATCATTGTCACAGGCCCAGAGGTTGACACCAACACCGATATCGGGCCTCCACGGAGGGAAGAAGATCCCGATCTCAGTGATGGTGGTAATATTATGGCTTCCAAGGTGACCGAAACATTACCACCAGCACCGAAATCTAGGATCATCTTCCCCCTATGGAGGCAACCCCCTGTGTTGGTGTTGGTGCCCATTTCCAGGCCTCCAACATTGGGGATGGAGCGGTTCACGCGGCCCCGAGTCGCCAGGGCAGCTCCTGGGCAGCAGCAGGCAAGCGTCGGCGGCGCCGCCAGCGCGGCGGCCTGGTCGGAGCACCGTTGCGGTGCCGCCGCCAGGCGTCCTCTTCGATGCGGCGGCGCCTCGCGGCGCCAGGTGATGCCGGGAAGAGCACCTGCTTGAGCTGATTTGCCCCCCCCCCCCCCTGGGCTTTACCCCCCCCCCCATCCCCCTCCTCCTCCTCCTCCTCCTCTCCTCCTCCTCCTCCTCCTCCTCCGCCTCCTCTACTTCCACGTCCTCCTCCTCCTCCTCCTCCTCCTCCTCCTCCACTTCCACTTCCACCTCCTCCTCCTCCTCCTCCTCCTCCTCCTCCTTTTCCTCCTCTTTCGCCCGGCCCAATGGGCCTAGGGCGGCCCGTCATGTCTCCAGGGCCCTCTTCGTCATGCCTCTGCTAGTGGTTGGGCTGCCCGCGGTGCTCATCGGCCCTGGCCCCGCCGCGGGGAGGGATCGGCTTTTTGCGTCGACGGTTCCGCAACTGGACTCCAACACCAGAAGATTTCATGAACAACTTGTCGGAGCTCCGCGCGGATGTGTTTGATCGGATATGGGCCCCCTGTCGGCGCCTCTGGCGTCGCCCTTGTTCCTTTCTCGTTGCCAGGTCGACGACTGGACGGTCCTGGGCCTCAAGGCAGGCCTCTTGGTGGCTCGATCATCCGGGGCGTCCAACATGGCCGGAGCTGTGGTACGTATCTCCCCAGAGACCACAGTAACCGAGTGAGCGCGATAATAAAACATACCCCCCCTTCCCCCCTATGTTTTTATTATCCTCATTCAACAGGATTTAGTTGTGGAGAAGGGCGCGGAGGCCGAACTTTATAATCCACGGGGTAAGTTGCGAATCGAAGTTGCTATCGACTCATGTTGACTAGCAACAGCATCAAGCACGCTGAGCATGGCCATGGTGGTCTCACCAAGTCTCTCCCATACAAGGATGGCTCCAAAGGATGCCGAGCGCCCATGATCACCATCATGATCATCGTCATCATAATCATCATCATCATCATCATCATCATCATCATCATCATCATCATCATCGTCATCATCATCATCATCATCATCATCATCATCATCATCATCATCATCATCATCGCCATCATCATCACAATCACCATCATCACCATCACCATCACCATCATCACCATCATCATCATCATCATCATCATCATCATCGTCATAACTGACCTTCCCCAGGAACATCCATCATTACCCCGCCAGACCCCTGGACTTTGTTTTCACCTATGGATTATTATCGCCCGCGCACGGTTACACTTTTGTTTGTCTCTGTATTTACGTCCATTGCATGCCGTGTTGTAGTGTCTGTTCTGTGGTGGTTCGGGTTAATCTTTAAGACGCACCAGTCGTCTTGTTTGTTCTCGCGGCTCTTGGCGGTCTGCGTCCGTCCTCCTGCGGCGATCCCGTCGCCCCGCCCGGGGCTATCTCGGCAGGTCTGCGCCCCATCGTTCGACGCGAGGCTCATCAGGACCTTCTTTGGGGGGGGGGGAGGGCCTGGCAGGTGACGTTGGAGCCTGGACTCACGCTGCCGGAGGAGGAGTCGGAAGAAGGGAGCGGGGAGGCATGGGCGAGGAGGACGGGGACGGCGAGGGGTGAAGAGGGTGCGAGGGAGGAGCAGTGGCGGGGAGGGGGAGGGGGAGGAGGGAGGAGCACGAGGATAGAGAACGCTGGAGAAGGAATGGAGGGGAAATGGGGGAGGTGCATGGAGGAGTAGGGAGGGATGAGCAGGATGGCGAGCAGGACTAGGAGGAACATTGATGAGGAGGAGGGAGAAGGGAGTAGGAGCGAGGAGGGGAATGAAAGATAATGAAGGAGGAGGTGGGGGAGTGGGAGGAGGGTTGGAAGAGGCGCCCAGAGAGCAATTACAGTCGGAAGCGACAGATCAACGTTATGAAGATTCAGCTTGTGCTATCCGCGAGAATCCTCTTGGATTTTGCGGGCGACTTTTCGTTCGGACGAAAAAAACGCCGATCACGGGCCACTGTTTGAAGTCGCAACTCGAAATTTGACGTGTCAAATGCGCGCACGGTATGAGATTATCGATTATTTGTGCAGACGTCTGGGCTTTTAGGGCACGCCGTTGCAGCGAAAGAGGTGCTTCGCCTCTGATTTTACGAGGGATCCTGGCCCCGGGGGCCGTCGTCGTCGTCGTGATCGTCGTCGTCGTCGCCGTCGTCGTCGTCGTGATCGTCGTCGTCGTCGTCGTCGTCGTCGTCGTCGTCGTCGTCAGGCCTAGCGCGAACTGATCGGATTGTCGTCGTCGTCGTCGTGATCGTTGTCGTCGTCGTCGTCGTCGTCGTCGTCGTCGTCGTCGTCGTCGTCGTCGTAGTCGTCGTCAGGCCTTGCTATCTCCGAGGCCCCCCCGCGGCCCTCGGTGGTCTTCTATCGCGGCTCTCCAGCGGCCCCCGGAGGCACCTTCGGTGGCCCTCGGTGGCCCTCGGGCAGCGGCTCGTCGCCGCTTGCCCTCGCCGTCGTCGGCGGCGGCGGCGGCGGCGGCGTCATCGGCGTCGGCTTCGGAATCGTCGGCGGCGTCATCGGCGGTGGTCCGGGCGGCGGCTCGTCGTCGCCGTCGCCGTCGTCGCCGGCTGCGGCGGCGTCGGAGTCGGCGTCGGCGTCGGCGTCGGCGTCGGCGTCGGCGTCGGCGTGGGCGTCGTCGTCGTCGTCGTCATCGTCGTCGTCGTCATCGTCAGGCCCGGCGCGAGCTGATCCGAAAGAAATGGGGGGATGAACCAGGCTTGATGTCGGGCGTGTCCCCCTACAGGGGGATGTTCGACGAAAAAAACAACAATACCCCAAAACGGTCGAACAAAATACTCAAAAAATAGTCCCTCGACTATTTTTGGATTATCTTTTGATTATTTTTGGGGTATTTTTTTTTGTCCGTCGAAAATTCCCCTGTAGGGGGACATGCCCGACTTACACCAGGCTGTGTGTTATCTTCGAGGCCCTGACCTTCTAGCGGCCCTCCGGCGTCCCTCCTGCGGCCTCCGGTTGCCCATCGGTGGCCTGGGCACCGGCTCGTCGTCGTCGTCGTCGTTGTCGTGGTTGTCGTCGACGGCGTCGGCGTCGGCGTCGGGGGATGAACCAGGCTGTGCTATCTTCGAGCCCCCCCGGCGGTCCTCGGCGGCGTCCTCGGCGGCCCTCGGCGGCCCTCGGAGGCCTTCGGCGGCCTTCCAGCGGCTCTCCGGCGGCCCCGTGGGGACATCGGTGGCCCTGGCAGCAGGTCATCGTCGTCGTCGTCGTCGTCGTCATCCACCTCCTTGGACTTCACCTTCCCCTCCATCGGTTTCGAGACCGCCATCGCGTCAGGTTGTGCGATGTGTATACATATATACACACAAATACACGCCACTATTTACACGTAGACATAGTTTACACATGCGTATAGCAATGTACACATGCATAGAAGTTCAGATACCTATATATATATATACACATAGATGCGCAAAACAATATACATATATACACATATTATATAGATGTATCAGACTGAGGGGGCTGAACGATCATTCACTGTCCCGGGGCGCAAGGTTGAAGTGAGGTTCTGCGGTGTGGAGTGTTATTGTTGTTTGTTATTTCTTGTCGTCGTCCCCCCCGCGACCCGGCCCGCGACCCGCCCGCGACTTGGCCCGCGACGCACCCTGCGACCCGCCCGCGACCCACCCGCGACTCACCCCGCGATCCGGCCCGCGACCCACCCGCGAACCCGCGACCCACCCCGCGTCCCACCCACATTGCCACATTGTTTCATCGAGAAATATCGGCGCCTGTGGCCGTTTCGTTGGATGTTTTGTACAATTTCGGCACCTGCGGCGGGGTTCTTCGGAGCCTCGCAGACTGCCAACGTCCCTGCCGCTCCTGCACTCTAATCCACAACTGCGGAGTGCTACGTACGTGTGCATATGTATGTATATAGAGAGAGAGGGAGAGAGATTCTCTCTGGGGGGGCATTCTTATCCCCATTCCCCTCAGAATGCCTCGAGCATCCAAAGCGACTTCGCTGCCTCGCCGCGTCGCCGCCGCAATGTCCTCCTCCTGGGTTCCAGGCCCTTCAATACGGGTCAGTCGCACAAGGGTATGGCCAGCGTGGGGATGATACGTTTTAGAGGTAAGTCGTACAGTTCGCCATCTGGTTCCTCTCTTCTTGGCCCCAGAGTTTTTGCCAAATACACAGTTGGCTCGAAGTTCAAAGGACAAGTTAGCACCGGCTGGCCCGGAATCTTTCCGTCTCGCCCGAAAAGGCGACATTTCAAGCCTGATGTACGCCTCGGAAGAATCAGCATCGCACAGGCGGTGCTAATTTTTCTTTGGAAGCGTCGTGCTAATGTTTCGTTCCCGTATATAGGCAGTCCAAGAGTATCATGCCACCTCCCATGCTCCCTCCCTCAAGTTTTTCCTCTATCGCTCCCCCGTCCTCGTTCTTTCTTATTCAAGTGGCTTGCGCATGTCCGCCGACCCCGAGAAGGAGCGAGACCTGGCGGCGATCGTGGAAGTTATTTTATGGGTCAGGAGCCTCGCGGATGCATATGAGAATATCTGAGGGGCTCCTGGGATGCTTCTCGGGTGCATCCGGGAGGGCTATTCGCGGCATCTGGGGAGTTTCTACGGAGGATCTTGGAGGCTTCTTGGGGACCTCCTGGAGACCGTTTGGGACCTATTGGCGGCGCCTCAGGGGTCTCTGGGGGGCTATTGGGGCCATCTTTTGGGGAAAGGCTCGAAATCTCAGCTCGTATTCGACGTCTTGGGACCCTCATGGACCGTCTTGGGGCTCTCTTAGGGGCCTCATGACCTGTCTTGAACGCTGCCAACACGAAACAGGCGAGTGTACCAAACATGAAGGTTACCTTCACAGAATGGGAAGATGTTTGCTTCTTGGGACCGTCTCCGGCGGTCCTGTGGAAACGTTTTTGGGTCGTCTCGGAGGCCTCTTGGGCCGTCTCGGAGCAACCTTGGACCGTCGTGAGGCTACCCTAGGCCGTCTCGACGCACTCTTGGATTGTCTTGGCGCTCCGTGCAGGCCCTCTTGGGCGGTCTTGGGGGGTTTTTGGAGGCTCCCGGAGCGCGTTGGCGAGCTCGTACCTCCACCCCCTGAGGGGGGGGGGGGCTGCAACTGGATTTTGGACCCTGGGGGAGGGGGAAATGGGAGAGGGTCGCCAAATGCCTCATACGCGTTTTCTCGGCGGCGAGCGAGGGGGGGCAGTGAGAAGGAGGAAGCCTTCTCAGAAGGCGGCGGGATTTCTCAGAAGCCCTCGCGTCATCTGAGACGCTTTCTCTGTCTTCGAGGAAAGCTTTCGGAGGTGGACAGGCCTCCTACCCCGACACTTCGATTAAGGAATTGGCCATTTTCGGTTCGCGAGAGGGCGTCGCGGCCGTCATTTTTGCGGGTCCAGGTCCGTCGGTTTCGGTCCCATGCCGTTTTCACTAAGGGGAGGTTAACTAAAGGGAGGTTTGTCCACCGCGGAAGCTTAGAAGCCTTCTCAGAAGGCGGAGGGACTTCCGAGCCTTCTGAGAAGGGCCGCCCCTTCTCACTTCCCCCCCCCGGCTTGCAGCCGATGGTCATCCTGGGCAAGCGGGGGTGGGCGGACTCCTCCTCCTCCTCCTCCTCCTCCTGCTCCTCTTTCTCCTCCTCCACCTTCTCCTCCTCCTCCTCCTCCTCTTCCTCCTCCTCCTCCTCCTCCATTTCTTGTCCTTGTGAATAACTTCTCCCTGTCGCACCCCGAGGCCTGTTTGAGGGGCGGTCCGGGCGTTTCGCCCAAGACGTCCTCACCATTCATGGTCCCGAAGTTTCACAAGTGGCAATCGCTTCAAAAATTGGAGGGGGGGGCCGCTTTCAACATTTCGCTCTCGCCTTAGCGCCGCGCACATGTGGTTCAAACACTTGGAAGAGTTTCACAGATGGAGGGCGGGTCGTTTTCAACATTTCGCTCTCGCGGTAGCGCCGCGCACATTCGTTTCAAAGATTATTGGAAGGGTTTCACGGATTGAGAGCGGGCCGTTTCCGAAAAGTGGTTCTCTCGTCTTCGCGCCGCGCACATTCGTCTCAAACATTTGGAAGGGTTTCACGGATTGAGGGCGGATGGTTTTCAACACGTGATTCTCGTTTTAGCGCCGCGCAAATTCGTCTCAATCATTTGGAAGAGTTTCACGGATCGAGGGCGGGTGGTTTTCAACACGTGGTTTTCGTTTTAGCGCCGCGCAAAATCGTCTCAATCATTTGGAAGAGCTTCACGGATTGAGGGTGGTTTTCAACATGTGTTTCTCGCCTTCGCGCCGCGCAAATTCGTTTCAAACATTTGGAAGAGTTTCACGGATTGAGGGCGGGTGGTTTTCAAAATGTGGTTCTCGCCTTAGCGCCGCGCACATCGGTTTCAAAGTGCTTGACGGATCCCCATGATTAACAGACCAGGAATTATGTTTTGGACGGATTCCGGGTTTTCCGGGTGCAACAGTTATTTTGATTCGCTCTGTTGAATCCCAAAAGTAGTGTTTGGCACGATTCCAGATCGTCAAGACGCAGTTGTCAGGTTGATCCGTGGCGTTGAAATCCCCAGAACAATGTTCTGGCATGTTTCAGAGCCTTCATATTGTTGTCTTCCAGCGAGGCAGTTCCCTCAATGTAAATGAACCGTTGTAGGGTCCTATGAAGAGGGACCTTGGAGGGAGGGTTAATTCCAACATCGTTGATGATTCTTGGGTTTACACTGGTCCTCCTCCTCCTCCTCCTCCCCTTCCTCGAGGAAAAAGGGGGAGGTGTTCGACACTCCTGGCGTCGTTTCAGGGGGACCTCCTTGGAGCTTGTGAGGGTCAGGGGCATCCTTCTGTTCGTGCTTGTCCCCTCCAGAGGTAACAACGACATCAACCAACACACACTGTCCTAACTCCACGCGGATCCCTCGGATCTGCCCTGGACCCGCTTGGTGCGCCTTCCGAGCCCAGGGAGAGAGGGGGGAGGCTTCACAGCCGAACCTGGAAATCTGTGCGGAGCCCCAAGAGACTATGTGTATGCTTCCTGTTGCCAGCCCCATGGTCCAACAACGGCGGGCCATTGGTTGAGAGATGCGGGCATGCAGTATCCACATGGAAATTCGGTGCCTGGCTATTTCCAGGAAGAGGGCGTTCAACTGGTCATCCAAAATGGAAAGGCTCTCCAGTACGCGGCATGACCCCCCTTGGCCTCGGACGGCCACCACATCCTACAGGACTACAGGACTATGTCGTATCACTATTGTTTGGTACGTGGTCAGCCATTCCAGATCATAAGAACCGACCAGGCACATCCATACCATGCAAGGGACGACCAGGCCAAGTCGGGGAAAACCAGAATGGATTAGACCAGAAGAGAGGAAAACTGTCATGTGTTCGCAGGCCTGGTGCCCGCGAATGTGGACACATCGTTGGACAAAAAAACATATATACGAGTGCCGAGAGGAATCAGGAAGGAATGGCATGGGGGTGGAAGATGACGATAGGGCAGGGGCAGGACGAGTGAATTCAAAGCGGAGGGGGAGGACGAGGAACAGTTCAAAGATAGTTACGAAGTTACGGGCAGAGTTCAAGTATGACGAGGAGGATCGTCCACTTGTGTGAGCGAGCTTCGGTCGATTGCGGACTGGGTGGAACTACATTTTCGCTGTCTGATGCGTAGAGGTTTCATATCACGCAACTCCCGACCAAACAAGTTCCGCACAGCATGACAATGTTCTCGACCACTCTGGATCTAGGCACCACGGGACGAAACCACAGTGGGCATAGCCAGAACGTCCCAGACCAGACCACAAAGAAACGCGGTATGGTTTCTTGGATGTTGTTGGTGGGGACGCGGGACGCGTTCAGGGGTGTGCCCATCCCCATCTTATTTACCACGAAACGGTCCCCCTCGCCCCTTGCAACTCGTTCGCTGAACTCTTGAACTCGTCGACAGGGCGCTGCCAGACCATATCTCGTCCTTCTGTTGCCTCAAGGTGTGCCGAAGACTTCGAACTTAGTTCTTGCACTTTGCAGCGACAGGAGGGGAGCGCTCTCACCCTGCTCCTCCGTCCCCTCCCCTTTCCTCTCCTCCCCCTCCCCCCCTTCCCCCTCCTTCCCCAGCAGGAGACCCGACAAGGTACCAACACGCACAGTAAGTGTGATGCTCCTCTCCCGCCCTCCAGAACCAGAACCTTCCGGCTCCCCTGCTCCTCGTCCCCCGGATGTTTGCAGCGAGGGAGCGGGGCGCAATTCTCGAGTGCCCGAGCCAGGAGACTCGAGCTCACGCTGCCCGCGGCTTTCCGGAACTGCCTTGCAGGAGAGCCCCAGAGCATTGCGGTTTACGTATGGCATGACCTGTCCTTTGCAGGTCGGCTCGTGTGGCGTTCTCTCTCCTGCCAGAGTTTGGGGCCACTGCATCTTCCGGGGACGCGTTTGAAGCCCGTTTCAGGGGGGAGTGTGTCCCTTCCCTTTCCTCGGGTCCTCCCTCTGCTTCATCCTTTCCCTCCTCCTCCTCTTCTCCTCCTCCTCCTTCTCCTCCTCCTCCCCTGTCCTCTCCCATAACTCGGCCAACTGTCAACACGGCGGGCACATTTTGTCTACGCATGTTTTCGTTCCCCCTCTTTCCTTGCGATTGTACGCTGTATCCACTTATTTCTGAGTCCTCTCGATTGCTTCGTGGAGGTCATCCTGTGGAGGTGTCCTCTCTCGGCTGGTTCGCAGGGGTTGAGTGATTTGTTCGTTGGGCGTCGACGGCTGTGACATTTCCTGTCGTCAAGACGTTGTGAATACATTCAGTATGTGTCGAGCTTTTTGGAGCGATCAATCAATTAAGCGATGCTGGTTGTGTGTTGACCTTAGACGGGTGGCACGCATGTTTGACATATTCACACCGTTGTGGGCATGTTAATTTGGAAGAAGGAAAATCATTGAGCGGGATTGGACCTGATGATTCGGAGGTTGGTGTGGGCATGGTTCACCGCCCACCAAACCACCCCAACCCAACCCGAAGATCCCGATTTACCCTCCATTTCCAGTGGGGGGTGGTCGGGGAACATCGCAAAGACTTAGCTGACACCCGTACCCACCCCAACCCGAAAGTCGGGTCTTCGGGTTGGGTTGGGGTGGTCTGGTATGCAGTCAATGGTTGGTTGAAAGGCTCGCATCTCGGAGAGCACGAGGCCTGAATAAATAATTATCAGACGAGTTGACTTGCTGATCTTGCAGGTCTGGGCGATGCCAGACGTGTAAATGCTTCTCACACATGGTACTATACGACCAGCCAGACACAACGTTTTCCGAGTACACGGCCAGCCCAGTGGAGTTAGTTTTCTTTGCGGTTGATGTGTTTCAGTTTCCCCGAAGGAGTGCCTTCCTGGTCTTCGGGTGAGTAGGGGGGGTCGCACGATGCTGGTATTCATATTTGCACACGGTGGAGTCGAGGCATGATACAGGAGGACAAATGGGACTTGAGGTCAGTTGCAGTTGATAAGAAAATGCGGCCAAAGCTATGTCGACCACTTCTGCAAGCTTCTTGGTCAGCCGGCTCTGCTTCAACCGAAGGGCTATACATGACGTGCGTCTGTTCGTTTTGCCCTCAATGCCATATCCGCCGATCCGGCGTGTGAGTGAGTTTCTGAGAGCGTGGGCTTGAGCTCGCTCAAGCTTCGTTCTGTCGGGTGAGGGGGGGAGCTGAAGCCATGGCTGACATCATTCAGGCCCAGGAAGGGGGAAGGGGGCGTGGAGCTCGCTCAAGTTTCGCTCTGTCGGGGGGGGGGGGGGCTGACGCCATGGCTGACGCCATTCAGGCCCAGGAGGGAGGAGGGGAGGGGGGGGGACGCCATGCTGACGCCATTCAGGCCCGGAGAGGGAGTCGGGCGGTGGGGGGGGGGGGGGGGGGCTGACGCCATGGCTCACGCCATTCAGGCCCGGGGGGGGGGGGGGGGAGCTCGCTCAGCTTCGGTCGGGGGGGGGGGGGCTGACGCCATAGCTGACGCCATTCAGGCCCAGGAGGGGGGAGGGGCAGGGGGACTCAGGCTCAGGATGAGGGACTCGGGGGTGGGGGTGGGGGGGGGGCTAACGCCATGGCTGACGCCATTCAGGCCCGGGAAGGGGAAAGGGGGCGTGGAGCTCGCTCAAGCTTCGCTCTGTCGGGGGGGGGGGTGGGGCTGACGCCATGGCTGACGCCATCCGGGTGAGGGGGGGGGGCTGACGCCATGGCTGACGCCATTCAGGCCTGGGAGGGAGGAAGGGGGGGGAGGGGTTGACGCCAAAGCTGACGCCATTCAGGCCCAGGAGTGAGGAAGGGGGGGGGCTGACGCCAAGGCTGACGCCATTCAGGCCCAGGAGGGAGGAAGGGAGGGGGAGGGGCTGACTCCATGGCTGACGCCATTCAGGCCCGGGAGGGAGGGAGGGGGGGGGGCTGACGCCAAGGGTGACGCCATTCAGGCCCGGGAGGGAGGAAGGGGGGGCGCTGACGCCAAGGCTGACGCAATTCAGGCCCGGCAGGGAGGAAGAGGGGGGGGAGCCTGACGCCAAGGCTGACGCCATTCAGGCCTGGGAGGGAGGAAGGGGGAGGGTGGGGCTGACGCCATGGCTGACGCCATTCAGGCCCGGGAGGGGGGAAGAGGTGGGAGATCTCCCTCAAGCTTTGCTCTGTCGGGGGACGGAGGGGGGGGGGGGCTGACGCCATTCAGGCCCAGGAAGGGGGAGGGGGGGGGGGGCTGACGCCATGGCTGACGCCATTCAGGCCCGGGAAGTTGACGCGAATTCAGTCCCGGGAAAGTGGGGACGCCCACCAAGATATCCGCGCGGACCTCCGAACATTTGCGTTCACGTGGCATGTCTATTCCTCGATCCCCCTCCCCTCCCTTCCCGCTCCTTACCATGTTCACGGAGCCGGTCTCTCGGCGTGCCGCGAAGACTGCGCCCAGCGGCGAAGCCGAAAACGGCTGCGTGCAGCAGATTTGTTCGTCACCCCCCCCTTCCCAATCCCCCCTTTCTCAGCATGGGGGAAAAAACACAGACACAATTCATCGTCGATCCCCAGGAAAATATTGGAACATATGGGAAGGGGAGGGGAAGACAAAAACGCACAAAATATGGGAAATATGGGGGATTATGTCATCTGCGTATTTATTTGTGTGTCCCAGGGCCACTTCATTTTCATCCGCCCCGACCCTCATCCTGCCCTCCCCCTCGCTTTTTCTCTGGCCGCCTCCTCGGCCTCCGACTGGTGCACCCCCCCGAGGATCGAGAGCCGACGAAGATCTGCACGGAAAACGTACAAGAAATCGAACATCTCAAAACAATCCGTCGATCCGGCGTGTGACTTTGTGGGACCATCACGTGTCGCCCGAGCCTCAGTTCCTTAGTTTCAGCTCTGCTGTGGGGTGGATGCCGAAGTGTCTCTGCCAGGGTAAGGGACGGGGGCGGGGGAGCTTTCCATTCCATTCTTGCTGCGAAATCCCGACTCCAGCTCACTCCAGAACTGTCCCCTCGCCCAGGAGGGCCCCAACACGGGCCAGTACGAAACCAGGAAGCCACCCAAACGGTCCAAGAGGGCCCTGAGACGCCGAAAAAAAAGTTACAAGACGCCCAAGTTGTCCCCCAAACAGCTCCAGAAGCCTACAAGACGCCCCAAGAAGACCTGAAGAGGCCTCCCAAGAGGACCCAAAGAGACGGCCCCAGAGAGCCCCAAGACTGCCCAAGAGACGCCGAAGAGGGCTCCGAGACGGCCCAAGAAGGGCCCACGACGGGCCAAGAAGCCCCAAGGACGCCCCCCAAAGGCCCCCAAGAGATCCAACAAATTCCTCCAGCGAGCCCCCAAGAAGCCTCGAGGATGCCTCCAAAAGGTCCCCCGGGAAACCCAGGAACGTCCCCCAAAGGTGTCATACATCAGCTACGTCAACATCCCATGAGTTTGGCTGTTCACGCGAGATCGTCAGTTTCGAATATCCGAAGGTTGCCCAAGCGAGTTCAACATCTCTATCTTATGAGGATGTCTCGAGCGAGTGCTCTACTTTAAGACAACAGGTCATCCGTTGCAAGCAGAATCGGTAGCATCCCGGATCGGCGGCACTGGCCGGAGGCCACTACAATAATATCCGCGGCAGCGCGAGGACGCAGACTGAATTTGCCCATGTCGCATCACGCGATGTGTGAGCTGTTCATCGACCTCTCTGATACAAAACGAGCATTCTCCACGGGAGGGGTGGGGGGAACGTGGAGAAGGGACATGAGGAGGACGAGAAGGACGAGAAAGATTGAAGAGGAGAGGGCGAGTTGGGATGAGGAGAAGGACAACCTCTTCCCCCTTCCCCTCCCTCCGCGTGGAGGCAGAGAAGGCAAGGGGCTTCGGCTTGAGTCACCAGCAAGCGCGGGCGCCGTGGTGTCGTAAGAGCTCTGTTTATGTACAGCGGGGCAGGCAGGCCAGCTGCTCGTCAACATATTGGGCTTATTGTCCTCCCTTCGCTTCACTCCCAGCATCTTACGAAGGCATAGCACCCCGCAGTTGGGGATAAGACTGAGGGGGCGGGCGCGGGGTGGGTTGCGAGTGGGTCGCGGGTGGGTCGCATGTGGATCGCGAGGCGGGTCGCGGGGTTGTCGCGGGTGGGTCGCGGGAAGGTCGCGGGAGGGCCGCGGGTGGGTCGCGAGAGGGTCGCAAGAGGGTCGCAAGAGGGTCGCTGGTGGGTCGCGGGTGAATCGTGGATGGGTCACGGGTGGGTCGCATGTGGGTCGCGGGTTTGTTGTGCGTTGCGGGCGGTTTGGGCCGCGTTGGATGACGACAGAAACAGCACGTAACAACAAGCAACAACAACAACAAGCATTGTAATATGGTTCGCTCTGATTTGCCCATGTGTCAGTCAGAGCGAGCTCCACACACCCTCGATGCCCGCCCTTTTTGTCTTCGATCACACTTGCTTTGGGGGGATTCGTTTCTCTTTGCGGGGGGCGGCGGGCTTGGACAGGCGGGCAAACCTGCACGGGCGGACAACCTTCCGTGGGCGTACATGTGCCCGCCATTGGAGTTGGTGTGGGCCCTGCAAAAAGAGGGGGGGCGAACGAGGGAGAGCGGGAGGAAGGGAGGGGGAGAGACGAAGGAAGGGGGACAACGCCACGAACAAGGAGCGACGAGGGGGGCGGTTGATTAGAGGCAACGAGAGAGAGAAATATAGAGAGAGAAAGGGAGAGAGAGAGAGAGAGGGAGAGAGAAAGAGAGAGAGAGAGAGAAAGAGAGAGAGAGAGAGAAAGAGAGAGAGAGAGAGAGAAACAACAAGAGGGAGACAGAGAGAGAGCGAGAGATACATTCATATAAGAGATTGTTTTTTTTCCTCTGGGGGGTAACGCTCGTTACCCGGGCCTCTCCCCCCCCCCCCCCGTAACGGTAACGCTCGTACGCGGGGGGGGTCTCGGTCTTCCCCTCCAACATGCTGGTGCCCGAAGGCATGCGCACTGTGGTGTGGTGGTCGCAGGCGCACTGTGGGCGCTCGCAGGCCATTGCGGCGCTCGCATGCGCGATGCTGGTGCTTGCGGGCTTTGCGCTTGTACTCGAATCGTCGTCGTCGTCGTCGTCGTCGTCGTCGTCGTCGTCGTCGTCGTCGTCGTCGTCGTCGACGGCGCCCGAAAACGGCCTCCGGAGGCCGAAACAGGCGGCAAACGTCGTCGTCGTCGTCGTCGTCGACCTCGTCGCTCGTCGCTCGTCGATCATCGTCGTCGCGCGCGCGGGCGCGGGCGTGGTGCCGGGACCACGCGGCGGGCTTTGCGCTTGTACTCGAATCGCAAGCCACTGTTGTGCTCTCAGGCAGAGAGTGCTGCTCGCGCGCATACTATGGCGATCGCAGGGCGCCCCTGCTTCGCCATACCCCGCCCAGCCCAAGCGTTACCGTTACCTGGGGGGCACGACCCCCCCCCCCCCCCCCGGGTAACGAGCGTTACCGGCCGGAATAAAAAAATGATCTCTAAGAGAGGTAGAGAAAGAGGGAGAGGGGAGAGAGCGAAAGACAGAGAGAGGGAGGAGGCAAGATAGGGGAGAGAGAAGGAGGACGGAGAGGAGGGAGTGAGGACAGGGCAGACAGGCACAATGATGAGGGAAGAGAGGGGGGAGAGAGAAGGGAGGAGAGGAGGGCGGAGGGAGAGGGAGGAGGAGCAGGAAGGTAAGAGCGTGAACGTTCGAGGAAGTCCTAAACGGAAACGCCGCTCCTGAAGGAAGTCTCGGGCGGGAACCCACGACGGGCGGGCGATCCCCTGACGGGCGGGCCGGGCGGGTGGGACATTCAAGCGGGATGCCTGAGCATGGCGAGAGCGCGATTCCTACGTAAATTGTGACGGCCTCCTTGGCGCAGCGTGTTCCCTGAGCGTCGAAAGCGCGAGTTCTGAATACATTGTATGGAAGTCGCAAGCGAGAACGCAACTCATGAATAAAATGTGAGTGGCTCTCTGGCGGGAGCGGGGGTCTTGATTAACTTGCGAGGAAGTCTTGACTAAATTGCGAGGAAGTCTCAAACGGGAGCGCCGTTCCTGAGCAAAGTGTGATGA